TCTGGTCACTGAATCAGAAGCGACTTCGACGTCTGCAGCCCCCGTCGCCCAGCCAGGATCCCTATCTCGTGGCGGTGTTGATTACTCTGGCCCAGGCCCATACTCGGGCGGCGCAGGCTCAGACTCAGGACCAGGCACCGCAATCACATGGCCAGCGTCTGGCGACGGTGGTATTACCCGATGGCAAGGACAAGGACAATGACAATGACAGGGAGGATGCTTTGCGACTAGATGCGGGCGGTCAGGCCGATTCCCATACACCGAGGCAGCCTCCTAGCACCGAGGCGGCAATGCCACCATCGACGTCGTCCCCGCCAGTCTCATTCAAGGTGTGTGTCGTCAAGCTCCAGATTCTGCTTTGCCCATATGTTCTCCCAGTCAGGCGGCTCACTAACCAATATCTGCCTCATCAGGTCCAGCTTATTGTCACCAGCATCGACGGAAACGACGACATGTACCTATACACCGCCAATGTTCCCGCGCAGTTCCTCGCGAAGCTCGACACCCCGTCGGTCTTCTCGCCCGCACCGCCCCTACGTATCGAAGCTCGGAGCATTCCGCTGCGCCCGCCGGAGATGTTGCTAGAAGTCCTGGGGAGGGAACTGCAGGCAGATCTTGGCGACTAAGGCAGTTCAGTACAGTACGATCAGCTAGAGCCCCAATAACGGAGGGGCTAGAATACGGTCATGATACGCACGTTGGCCCTGAGGAGCCTGTATGTCTCGATGGGTTGGCACACGCTTTGGACAGGACGTATACGTCTTCATGTCGGACTCGGTAGGGAGACTCGTCTCTGTAGAGTACTGGTCCGCCTCCACAGACACTCACCAGAAAGGGCACAATTGTAAAAGCCGAGACCTCAATGTATCAAGTCGTGCAAACGATGTTCGATGCGAATCCCGAATCGTATGTACGTATCCTTGACAAAATTCCAACGCTTCCCACACATTGTCCAATGCATTTGATGCGCAATACGGAACCTTTCTAAACAAAGTCAGGCCACAATCGCTCTCGACGACTATTATGGTGATGATGTCATGATGTCTCCCGGTCCGGTGGAGGCTCATGGGGCTCATCGGGGTTCATCTGATTCGTCCAACGACCACCAAGCTGTCATTGGTTGCACTCCGGAATGGTGTAGAGGAATGCAAGGAAAGACAGAAAGGCGTATGTTGCAGTACCACTTCTGATCTCTCAGTATGTCACTACGAACTCATTGCATTGAGGTGTACGGATCATGCGTGGAATCCGGGCCGGATATAGTAAAGGGCATCCTGACGCTTTCTGATAACGGTACGTGTGTAGATCTTAGCATAAATTGACCCGGGTCGCTCCGGATAATGCTGAATTCTAATCGGATCATGACAATTCTAATTGCGGCTATCGTTGTCGATTCGTTCCCTTCTGGGACGGTCCAGGTGGGCTACCTGCATCCATCCATATCGTGCATGCCCCCCTTCTCTCGTATATACCTAGACCTCCATCACAAATGGCAGCAGTGGGCCAAACTTTACTGCAGTCGGTGCAGAATAGTTGGCCTAGGTGCTCGGCATACAACCACGTGCCATCGTTATTTGCAGTAGCTGCTTGCAGTCGTTCGCAAGGTCGGGCTCAGCTGCGGCTTCGGCTTTGAACACTGCACCAGTGTGCGGACCTCGCTGGCCCGGAGTGGGAAACGTATTTGTATGAGTATTCACTTCAGGATCGTGTGTAGGGATATATATTCAAAGTCAGGCTTTAGGGGAACAGGGCCTGAAAACAAGAGCATCCCTGAACGGTTGGGCACCTCGTGGCTGACTGCATAGATACCCTGCTCACAGGTATGTTCAATCCGACCCCTTTGCTGTTCTGCTCGGTACCGTCTGTGGCTCTTTCCCGTAGATATACGGACTTTGGCCACATCTCCCGAACCCAACAGGACATCGTCGACTTTACGCCCAGGTGTGATCTCAACCGACACACCTAGTTTGACATCGCGGGGACTGCCGCAGTTTGGAATGCGGTCATTTGAGATGACAAGTCGAAGTCGCTACGAAACACGGCTGACATGCTCGTCAATGCTGCAGAAATTCCGAATGCCAGGAGATGGCCAGCTCATCAGGCCTGAGATCTTCAAGGGATCTAAACTGCATTCAGCGAACTAAAACCCCAGTTTCGATTTGACGGAGAGGAAAGTTGCCCTCATTGGCAACGGGTAGTTCACTGCCGCCCAAGACGTTCCAAAAAGGAAAATTGTGTGGACTAACCTCTGTATAATTCCTCCAGCGTACAGACCCTCCCCGCCGTTTCACCCATCGTCATCTTTATTCGTGAACCTTCCTGGATTACTCGCATTGTTTGCCTGGATTCGAACATACAGAATTCGGACGAGTCAGAAAAGTTAAAATTCCTAAAGGACCCCACGGAGCATATGTAGTACAGAAGACAAGTGCAAAGCAACGGCAGTCCTGTCTTCCCATTATTGCCCGGAGGTAGTGAAGCGCAAAAACAAACCATTGGGCAATTTTGAGAAGTAACGAGAGACCAAATCCAGGATCCGTTCTTGAAAGAAGTCCTTGTACCTGACTGGGATGCGGGATGCCGCCGGCTTGCCCCTGGCGTTGGCTATCTCTCCGATTTGGCCTCTCACAAGTCTTCAGTCGCATATGGCGAGATTGTCAGAATTGGGCCTCAAGGTCCAACCAAGCCGTGTACACCCAGTGGAAGTGCATATCTGTGCCACAGGTTTGACAAAAGTTTCAAGTCACTCTTAAAGTTGGTGGGAAATGACGAACATCCTCTCAGTATGTACCACGTACCTCATCAGGCGCGCACCCCAACTGGCGGCGGCTTAGGGCTGAGCGGCCACAACGTCAGTATCCGCAAGTAGAGACCTGTCGCTTGTCAGTGAACAGGTCGCCAGCCAGTCGTCTGCCATTTGCCGCCACGGTGACATAGCCGGCTGCGATGGCGGCGTGCACGGAACAAAGCTGGCACACAAAATACCTACAGCAGCAACAACAGCGAGCAGCAGCAGGAGATATCTGCCCCATCGGCAACTCCACCTACTCCATAACGCCATCCAAGAAGTCAAGATGGCTCCCCCCCCCCCTCGGCTGCACACGGGCCAGTGAGTAGTCTGGCCGGCCTTCCGCAGCCTCGGGACTGCGCAGTGTTGCGGCCAATACCACGGTGGCCCATCTCCCGTAGCTCTCACGCGGGGCCCACGGACGGGCATCCGCATGCCCGGGCTGGAGGAGTGCGAGTTCGTGTGTAGGGCATGGCGGCACCGAGCCGAGGGTATGGAAGCCAGCCTCGGAGCTACCTGACTATGCCACGGTACGGACTGACTGACGTTGAGATCGGTCGTTTGCTAGCATCGCTGACCTAACGATGGACTGTGGGTTTAGAACCTCAGAGGCATTGTTCGGGTCTGAGGGCTTGGAAAGTAGACAAACAGACAGACCGACGGACAGACAGCGTTTGAAGAAGTTAGAGAGAGGATGGGACTTGTACATGATGTATATGTACCGGTGATGTTGATTGACGACATGCATCGGACAATGACGGTGGGATGGATGCCGGGGTTACTTTACTCTACCGGAACCTCAACCTCAACAATGCTCCTTTGTGGTTTGATTATCGCCATCTCCAAGACTCTCCCGAGCAAGGCCAACTTCGGCAACATTCATTCATTCATTTCCCCTTCTGAGAGTCTCAATCTTCTTAACATGTTCCTCCTCACTTCTGACTTCTTACTCAGCTATTCACTAAGACAGCCATCTATCAAAGAGAAGTAAGGCATGAGAAAGGTCCGAGTCCTGCTGCATGTGCTTGGGAAGAGATGAGATCTGCCGTAGCACCTGGCCTGGAGATTCATGTTGGCGACGAGAAGACTCGCAGAGTATGGAAGTTCAGCAGCGGGCAGTCTCCGGCGAACAAGAGATGGAAAGAGTTGGGGTCGCAGAAGCCGCAGATCGAATAAATGGGATGTACCGTCGCAGCAGCGGAATGAAAGCGGCAAGCTTTGCCCTCTCACCTCGCTTGAGCTCTGAAGATCATCAGTGCCACATGTCATGACATGCAACTTGATAATTCATGGCGGGGTCATGGAAAAGGGTGCTGGAAAAGGGTGCACGTGCCCAAGGCAAGGCACGTGTCTATGCATATGAACTTCAGGCGCGATGAAAGATGAAAACAAACAACCACACGACAGACAAAGGTGATTATCTGTCGCACAAGAATGCTTCACACATCGTAACCATTCACAGTATTGCGTCTTTGCCGCCTTCTTTCTTTCTTTCCTCCCATCATGTTCCCACCTGATCGTACCGCTCAGAAGAGCAGGCCGATGCTAGGGGACATCACCAACCTCTTTAGTCTTAGAACTAAAAAGAGGCAGTGCTGGTTGTCTTTGGAAGAAGATGGTGACGACCACCAGAACAAGCAGAAACACCAAACACAGCAGAACAAGCGTAAGCACGAAGAGGAAAATTAAAGTGCAATGATGACCAGCCGGCTCACTGACAACCTTGATCTTAGGCACTGCTTTATTGGCCGTCAACAATGAAGGTGAAAAGCAAGACACCGTCTACAAGTCTGGAGCAGCTTCTTTCACAGCAGTCAACAGGAACATCAATACCGATGTCCTCGGCTCGGATTTAGATTTGGGGTTGGATCTGGGTATCGAAAGAAACAGCCAAAAAGCGTCATTGGCATCAAGGCCTCGCCATTGCCACCACAAAGATTGGAGCCAAGGCAGCCACGGAAACAGTAGCAATGAGCAGCAGCAGCTCTTAGAGAAGGAGGGAGTAGAATTCCGACGAGCCTTTTCTCCTACCTCTACTAATTCCCAACTTCCCCCTCCTTCTCCTTGTATCCTCCCCAACGACCACGACCCTTACGGTCACGGATCTCAGCTCTCAGAGTCTGCCACAACTCTCGAGCCAGACACTGATCCAGATCAGATACGCCGCCTCTGGGAGACTGTCTTCCTTTGCAACCGCCAGATCACAGCCAGCATGCCCGTCACCTCATATGACTCCGCCTCCATGGGGCCCAAACGAGCCCCTCAGCTTGTCCTTCAGGCACGCCCCAGACGCATATCGCTGCATAATATCTTCGGCGATGAAGTCGCCGACCGGGATCTCCTAAAGCCTCTCACTGACGATGCCGCCCCTCATCATATAAGCATCAGCGGAATCAGTGCCTTCCTGGTCGCTATCAAACGACCGTTGTCTCTGCCAGGCTTCGACACCCTGTATGAGCTTAACGACGCCGTTCAAAGCACCCTCTTCCGTGCTCCTGTCGCATCACTGATCTCGTCTGCCGACGACAAGTCATCTTCTACCACAACGGTGGTCTACGACAAGATACCGGCGGCGATCCGCATCCTCGGCGCAAACCCCGGCATTCAAGATGAGTCTACCAGCCTCTGGCGCCATTCTTCCCGGGCCGGTTCGCAGAATCGCCGCCGCAGCGGCGACATTGGCGTCGAAGGAGCCAAGACCACCACACCGCCCGCCCCTGGTGCTCATATCTCGTTCTGGCTGCTCATCGCCAATACCAACCTCCACCCGTCTATGACAGACATCATCTCCAAGACGACCGGCACATTCTACCAGAGTGCAACGACGCCATACCTCTCGGTCAACTACTGCATCCGCGAGCACTGCAGCCACCACACGACGGACGAGTGTAGTGGCGTTGCCGGACTGGCTAGGGCGGGCGAGGCCGGCCTGTACAACCGGTACCTGCTCCGTGAGGAGGTGGCGTATGTGCAGGAGCAGTTCGAGATCGAGACAGCCGACGTGGTGCACTTTGCGGTCGTGCTGGGCTGGAGGTCCTTCACGCTCTGGCGTTTCACGCCTAACTCGCCGACGGGAATCATCAGCCGTCGGTCTATCGAGAAGGCCTTGTCGCAGCCGTCGAGAAAGGGGAGCCGCCGGGAGGGTTTTGATTTCGATCGCGGCGCTGCTGCTGCTCATTCCGATACGGCAGGCAGGGAGAGTACTACGAGGGGCACCCAGGAGCACGACAAGAGACATGATGTCAAGAACAAGGATGAGACAAACACTGGCAAGGGAGATCAAAAGGGAGGTTCCTTAGACGCCGGGACATATTCTCGCGCCGACGCCGGCACCGCCTCTCTTGTGGCGAAGACTGCGAATCCCATGGCAATGCCTGCGACGAGCCAAGGTATGTTTTCGATGGGTTCCAGACTGCGACAGAAACAAGTCGAGTCTGAAGGCAAACCCAGAGCTGAAGCCAGTGACACAGCGCACCGCCAGGAGCGCCAGCAGAAATACCACGACAAGAGACTCCACGGCCTGGGCTGGGACGGATGCACTATGTCGTATCTGCTGGGCGGGCGCACGACGATACGGGCCGACGTCACCGAGCTCGCACGCTTCATCAACGCCATCCACGCATGGGGCGAGGGCCGCCACGCCGCGGGGGTCGTGGAGGATGTGGTCGCGTTGTACTCTTAGTGAAGACGATAATGATCGATCGGACGGGAACATGTATGATGGAGAACATGACCGCACGAAATGGCTGCGCAGATGGATAGACGTATACTAGCGGCGTATGCTTGTGCCCTTTGTCTGTAGACGGACATAGAACTGGAGAATCGCTCCCGGACTGGACTGGACTGGACTGTGCTCATCTTGGCCGACATAAGACCAGGTAGATGTTTAGATTAGCTCAACGAAGACAGATGAGATTGCATAAACGCACAAATGTGTCAAGAATCACTGGTACCGATCCCGGTGACAGCACAGTATTGGGCCCCGTGATATGATTACTGTTGTTCGAGCTGCAAATGCTTGCTCATAAGACGGAACAACAGCCCGTCGGGATAACGATGACGAATAGTCATCCAGATGCTGAAGTGCTCCATCCAACCACGGTATTGTGGCATCAATTCCCAGGTTCTGATACTCGCTTCTATGATGAGCACCTGCTGCTAAAAGTCCCTTCGTCGCTGCCTGATCGTGAAATGTAAAACAGCTGTAAAGTTTGCTGTCAATGTCCATACGAGCTGCCCAGAGACGGGAATTTCTGTCTTGTCGTTTTCTAGATCCCGCCAGAATCAAGGTGAGCAGCAGGAAACGGAACGAGTTTAGCAGATCGTAGGCTAAGATTCACTCGCGCTTCCTATGAATTGAAATTGGCTGCTGTTCAATTGTGCTAATTTTAGTGCTCTGACGGACTGTGAGAATGGCGAGCATTGTCTGTCAATCTGTCAACGCCAGCCACAATTTTAGGACTCGAGCTCTTAAATGCTGTTGTTTCCCTGTACATCAGCAGCGCTTAACAGATATCTCCAGGAACAGCCATCGGGTTTTCATCCCCGACATCGATGAGAAGCACCCATACTCATTCAGCTCGCGGGGATGGTGCTTAATGAGCGAATGAGCAATAACATTGTACAACAGCCTTGGGGAAAAGACATGATGTAAAAGCTGCATGCCCTCGATAAATTGAGTCGGTTTCTGGATGAACACGATTCAGAAGGCCCTTCGACCGTGACTGAAGGATAACGGGAGACTACTGTGAGGCTGGCTTGACTTCATTATCTTGGGACTTGTAACATCGAATAATACCAGCGGTCAACATTCGACTTCCGCCGTCCAGATAACTGGTTTACATTCACTTCTTCGATAGTCTTCAATGAGGCCCTTTACATTTACCTGATTTTACGGATTCCATCAGAGTTCCCATGCTCTCCCGAGCTTTGGAACCGCTAGCATCCGTGCACCAGAGCAGACGATGCAATCTCAAAGCGCTGATCACTTGGCCGGTCCGCCTCCATTTTGGCGCCATGCCTCTCGGAACAATAGACTTCCATTATTGTCATCATCTTCTTTCCACTCTTTCGCATCTTATTGGCCGTTGCGCCTATCCCGGATCGATGTCTAGATTGGTGCGTAGCAATACATGCCTTCGCCACGGCCTAACTGGCTGGCGGCACGCCTCTCCAGTGAATATCAATTTAGGGAACAGAGCACGCATTATCACGGCAAGTATCAAAGCAGATTACTCTCTCCTGTCCACTCCACGGTTCACAATTTAAAAAACTTTAAGAAAAGCTATAAAAAAAGTAAGACTTAGCCACTATAAGCTACTGTATTTATAGTGGCCATATTGAGCATATGCTCAGCATAAGCATCTCTACCCCCTGCGACTAAAATAATTAGTCATTATGATTACACTAGTGACACTGTCCTATGGATGGATGCCCTTTCACCCAACCTACCATTTTATCAACAGAACAGATCGCCAGTAGAACAGACTGCAGCACGCCTTCATGCACGTCTTCAATGCATTACCATTTTATGCTAATAAGAGTGCTTGACGTCTGGATATCAGCTATTCATAGGTCACGAAGACTATCTATCGCCTATATTTATACATCTAGTATTTGCCTGTTGGAGTGGCATTCAAGTGATTCGCAGCGTCGATAGGTGTTTTATTATCTTTGATAAAGAGAGAATTGATATAGTTGACCTGTGTTGATCACGGTGTCTTGTGCTCCACCTTCGTTTGCTGCTTTGTTGCTTGGGATATGGAGGAAGACGACATGCCAAGCGCTTGTTAGTGACAGAACTATCTGCAAAGAGTTAGATCATAGACATCATCAACTCTGTAGTTGTTATTTGTTGGCACTGGCACATAAAAATTGGGTCCGGTCGCCACTCGGTGACCCAACCAGGTTCTGGCGCTCCGCATGGTCAGCGTAGACGACCCACATGCGGCGACCGGGTTCAACAACACCGATCAACCATCACTGCTCCGAAATCCTGGAAAAATGACTTTACTGATTAGACGACAAATGGATAATACGATTGGGCCTATATCTCTTTTTAAACATCTTCATTGTGCCAATTCTTATTTGACTTTGATTGGAGTCGACTGCGATGACGCAAGCTTCATGGTCCCACTACCATAAAGTCGCCAAGTCCGTAGCCAAGGGGCCAAGACAGACTACCAAGATGCCCATCCGCATGTTGTGGTTTCTGACGGTTGTTCGGCAAAGGCGAAGGTCTTGGTCAACCTATACTAAGTTCCCAAGGTCCGTACATCGTTCGAGGCTCCAGTGAAAATTCAACCCTTCTTATCTTCCAGTGACGCATACCTTGTCTTCGCGTCTGAACTCCACTACTATAAGGCTACCTACTTGCCTGCCCAGATCTCACACTTCTTCTCTGTCCACACTTTGTATTTTCCAAGAGCAACACACGTCTTGGAATCTTTGTACAACTCAGACTCCGTCAAGCGATCCACCTCCGACTCAAATATCGAATAGCCATGCGTAAGCAAAAGGAAAAGGGCAAAGAAGTTGATCGCCATGTCACCGGGCAATCTAACGAGCCCATGTCGCGTCCGGCTCATGCTTTGACCAGCGCTCAGGTCATCGACGAGCTCGGTGCCGACACTCTTGGTGGATTGTCTACTATTGAAGCAAAAGGCCGCCTCGAAAAGTTTGGCAGCAATGATCTCGGTGAGGCTGAGGGTATTCAGCCCATCAAAATTGTCATTGCCCAAGTGGCGAATGCCATGACCTTGGTATAAGCACGCATGCAACTGATTCATTTCTTCTGCGCTCACGTGGAGATAGGTGCTCATCTTGGCTATGTCTGTGAGCTATGGAATAGGCTCATACATTGAGGGTGGGGTCGTCACTGCGGTGATTCTCCTCAATGTTATTGTGGGCTTCTTCCAGGAATATTCGGCAGAAAAGACAATGGATTCGCTACGGTCTCTCAGCTCTCCTACTGCCGCAGTGGTTCGTGGAGGCGAAGCTATGGTCGTTCCTTCGGGAGAAATTGTTCCCGGCGACCTAGTCGAGATGAAAATGGGCGACACAATACCTGCCGATGTTAGGTAAGTTGCGGTTAGCGGCAATTTAGCAGTCGTGCTGACCCCAATTAAGGTTGATCGAGGTTAAAAACTTTGAAACGGATGAAGCCCTCCTTACTGGAGAGTCCCTCCCTGTTCGTAAAGTCACTGATGCCGTGTTTCCGGACGATACAGGTCCAGGAGACCGCCTCAACATCGCCTATAGCAGCTCAACTGTGACCAAGGGACGTGCCAAAGGCGTTGTGTTCGCAACTGGAGCATTCACCGAGATTGGTGCCATCGCAGTCGCACTTCATGCCAAGGAGTCCAAAGTACGTCCCGTCAAACGAAAACCAGATGGGCACGCTGGTCCCCACCGCTACCTCGAGGCATACACGCTCACCCTCTCCGATGCAATTGGTCGTTTCTTAGGTGTGAACGTGGGTACGCCGCTTCAGCGCAAGTTGAGCAAACTGGCTATACTGTTGTTTGGTATTGCGATTGTGTGTGCCATTGTTGTTCTCGGATCAAACAAATTTGACTCCAGACAAGAAGTTGTTATCTACGCAGTCGCTACCGGCCTATCCATGATACCAGCCTCGTTGGTGGTCGTTCTCACCATCACGATGGCGGCTGGAACGAAGCGCATGGTGCAACGAAATGTGATTGTGAGAAACTTGAAGTCACTCGAAGCTCTCGGGGCAGTGACCGATATCTGCAGCGATAAAACCGGCACTTTGACTCAAGGTAAAATGATTGCTCGTGGAGTATGGATACCGGGTTTGGGTACATATACAGTCGGCAATGCCACCAGAGCGACCGATCCAACAAATGGCGAACTTCGATTTGACAGCCGCATGCCCAAGAACATTAACTTCAATCAAAGCAAAGAAGGCTCAGAGACACAGGACACTCCTGTGGGTGCTACAGAGTTACTTAGTGGAAGCAACTACCTTCTGCAAAACTTCCTCAACGTGGCAGCCCTAGCAAATTTAGCCACCGTTCATGAGAAGGATGGTCAGTGGTTTGCAAGGGGTGATCCGACGGAAATTGCGATACAAGTCTTCTCAACGCGTTTTTCGTGGAACCGTCTTGACTTAACCCAAGGCGATAGTTCCCAATGGATTGACGTTGCTGAGCTGCCTTTTGACAGCGACGTGAAGCGCATGAGCGTCATCATGAAGAACAAGAGCACAGAGGATCATTTCGTCTTCACTAAAGGGGCCGTCGAGCGCGTCATTCAAGACTGCAAATATTATTGCCTACAGGATGAAGAGAATCTGGAAGTTGCCATGACAGAGGACTTTCGCCGAGAGATCCTGAACAATATGGAAGCGTTTGCAGCTCTCGGTTTACGAGTTCTCTGTCTGGCAAGCCGGAAGTATAATGATGAGCTTCCGCGCGATCAGGAAATTGACCGGAGATTGATTGAAGTAGATCTTACCTTTCGCGGGCTCATTGGCTTATATGACCCTCCCCGGCCAGAATCAGCTGCAGCCGTTCGACAGTGTCACGATGCCGGTATTTCGGTTCACATGCTCACAGGTGACCATCCGGAAACCGCAAAGGCTATCGCCATCGAAGTTGGAATTCTGCCTCCTCATATTGAACGTGTCAGTCGAGAAATTGCCGATATCATGGTCATGACTGCGTCACAGTTCGATTCCCTAGATGATGATCAGGTGGACGCATTGCCCGTCTTACCGCTTGTGATTGCCCGATGTGCTCCAAGCACCAAAGTTCGGATGATTGAGGCTTTGCACCGAAGGAACAAGTTTTGTGCCATGGTATGTATCCAGTTTGGAAGCTTGTTGGCCATAACTAATGTTATGTTCGATAGACTGGCGATGGTGTGAACGATTCGCCTTCCTTGCGCAGAGCTGACGTAGGAATAGCCATGGGACAGTCAGGCTCTGACGTTGCTAAGGATGCTTCAGATATTGTGCTCACAGATGACAATTTTGCATCTATTGTTGCAGCAATCGAAGAAGGCCGCCGCATTTTCGATAACATCCAAAAGTTTGTTCTTCACGTTCTTGCTGAGAATATCGCCCAAGCAGGAACTCTCCTTGTCGGACTTGCTTTCAAAGATGATAGAGGTCTATCTGTGTTCCCACTAGCACCGGTTGAAATAGTTTGGATTATCATGATCACTTCTGGTATGCCGGATATGGGTCTTGGGTTCGAACGTGCGGTTCCGGATATCATGTCGCGACCACCACAAAGCCTCAAGACCGGCATCTTCACAATGGAGTTCCTAGTTGATATGGTCGTCTATGGCTTGTGGATTACAGCTCTGTGTCTCGCGAGTTTCTCACTAGTTGTGTTCGGTTTCGGAAATGGCGATCTTGGAAACAGCTGCAACGAGGCATACTCCGAGTCTTGTGACGTTGTCTTTCGCGCTCGAGCCACAACTTTCGCGTGTCTCACCTGGTTCGCCTTGTTCCTGGCTTGGGAAATGATTGATATGCGACGATCTTTCTTCCGCATGCAGCCCGGCTCCAAGAAGTATCTCACTCAATGGATGTTTGATGTTTGGCGGAACAAATTTCTATTCTGGGCTGTCATTATCGGCTTCATCACTTTGTTCCCTGCACTGTATATTCCAGTGGTCAATGTCAAAGTTTTCAAGCACGTTGGCATTAGCTGGGAGTGGGCAATTGTCTTCATTGCGGCGACCTTGTTCTTCTTGGGAGTTGAAACATGGAAGTTCGGCAAGAGAGTTTTCTTCAGGCATCGATCGAAGAAGCAACTCGGCCATGTTTGGAAGGACATGGATATTGAGCAACGAGCATTTGCGGACTATCTATCTGGTAAAGAGGATCTTCAGAATAACTCTGTAGCAGAGTTCCAGAAACAAGATTGACTACGAAGGGGCGGGAAGCCCCGAAGTTCACAAGTTTCGATGTGCGAGATCGAAGCTGACGGGATCTCGCATGGCAAATCACATACCTACAAGTATCCAGGTTTTAAGAGACATGATCCATACATAGTCACTGAGAATGGGTCACAGATTGGTAAAAGTGGCTGGTGTACTTTCAACAAGATAACACTAAGGTGCAAAGGAGAGCATGAGTCTCTTCATACAGATGGACGAGCGAGCATAGGAGCAGACTTTCAACACAAGGGTCACTCATTTTCATTCATTCTAATTTTCATTTCTATTTACTACTGGGATCTATCCCGTTTGCATAGCCACAAGATTATAGCTATTCATAGCAACAGAGCAAGATTCTCAAAGCTGTTTGCTACTACGGCGGAGAAGGAGTACATTCGTACCGTACCAACAGAACAGGTACTGGGTACTGGTATCAACAGTCACCAGTGTATATGTGATTTAAACTCCATTCCAGATCAAGGTGCAGTGCTACACCTGTCTTCTATAGGTAAAAAACGTATCAAACATGCGTTTCTGCTGTCCAGGAGTAAACTCGTAGGTGCTGATAGCCGAGACAGTTAGCTCATGGCTCTTCAGAACGGACATTGGAATTTGCATGCATCAATTGCAAGATACGAGGAAGAACTAACCAGTTATCGTCAGTATACCCCATGAAATTGTGAATGGGATCGAGGCCTGGATTATTCGGACAGCTGTCTGATCCCGTAGGGCATCCAAAGACTTGATCGCCCTGTGCCGGAGTGTCATCGACAAAATCGCCGGGCTGAGAGCAACCACCAGCAAACGTATGGTTGAGCCCGAACCAATGCCCTGTTTCATGGACTGCAATGTGACCCATATTCCAATCTTCAAATCCACCTTGTTCGACTGTGAACCCCGGCATTGTCATGGCGCTAATCTGGCACGAGTCCAAGCCAAACGTCTCGTCATCACCTTCCGCAATAATTGTAGGCCAGTTACAGTACCCTGTAGCACCTGGAGAGTATTTGCTGAAGAAGTACAGATTCAACGCGTCATAGCCGCCCTTGCGTGTACTCCTCAGGTACTCGTTTCTTTCTTCTTCGTAGTAAACCCAGCCTTTGTCAGCGCCTTCATATACGAGAAAAGCGCTGCCAGTCCGATTATCGACGAGGCGCTCTGTCGAATTCAACACAAGCTCAATCTTATACTTGGCGAATGAATCGTGAAGGATGTTCCATTGAGCCCCTACAATCTCGTCGGTGATCAGATCCTTGTCTTCTTCCGTGCTTGCGATGTGAAAATTCACATCCACAGTAATGTTGCTAGGAAGGTTTTGTCGGCGGTTAGGCTCATCGAGACGGACAAACAGTGGAATGGCCGCATCTTGCAGAGAAGCTTCGTCGGAAACTAAGCATCCTCTAGTTTGAGGAATTGCTGTATCTAAACTCCACACTGCCCCGGCTACAGTCGCTAGAAATGCCAGCCTGACAATCATTGAAAGTCGTCTTTTGCCTTTAGATGCAAAGAAGTTGATTTTGAATATAATACGGATCGTCGAAACGGCCACTTTAAGTACTCATAAGCATGGACTAGTCAGTCTTGTGATTATCCACATTTCTCGTATTGCCGGCATTGCATCCTGTTTCGATTTCGGGCTACTACCTTCCTACCCAGGCAGGCGGCGACATATTGACGACACACAGACCACCTTCACTAATGCTCTCTTCAATAGACAAACGAGCATCGCTAAAGCTATCCAGTTCTTATTTAAACAGGTAGGTACCATGGTTAGTATCTGCAGAATCCTGAGATAAGTAGGGGTCTTAGTAGATATACAGCTCGCTAGTGGGAAACGTATGTATTATTTATCCGTTGCACGCCATCTGTACTTGCTTCCTGGATGATCTTCCCTTAGCCTCGGCCCACGACCATCTTGAAAATAATTCTCTCTCGTTGTAGAAGCCGCATAATCATCCCAGAAAACGCCTCGGGCTCTGAGCTCCGGTAATAACCATTTTATAATGTCCTCAAAGTCTCCAGGGCTAACAGCATACGAGATATTGAATCCGTCAATGGTTGACTCGTCAATCCAATTTTGCAAGAAGTCTGCGACTGTCTTCGGAGAACCTATCGCTCTAGGATGGGGACCGCCCAATGCAAGTTCCTGTGCAATTCGTCTTTTTGTCCACTTCACTCCTTCTGTGCCAGGCACTGTTGCTGTCCAGGACGTGATCATGCTCTGAATCCCGGCAAGCCCTGAGAACTTGAAGTCTTCGTCGTCACTCCATTTATCAAGGTCGGTCCCGGTCCAGCCGCCGAAGAGCGCTAATGTTCCTTCGGTATCCGCATAAGATAGATAGTCGTTGTATTTTGCTTGTGCCTTTTCATCAGTCTCGTCAACAATTACTAGAATTCCAGCAATCAGTTTGATCGTTGATACATCGCGACCCTGGGAAACCGCCAGCTGCCGAATATCAGTTGCTGACTTCCTTACTGCCTCTGGAGTCATGCCAGGAATGAACATGCACTCGGCGTGCTTTGTGGCGAAACCTTTCCCGGCAGTGCTGGCACCGGCTTGGAAGATGAACGGGGTTCGTTGAATACTCGGCTCTGTAGTCAAAGGCCCAGCGGACTTAAAATACTTTCTGTACAGAATGTCTGCTTTAGCACCCTCTACAACACATGCACGAGGGATCTAGAAACTGGTGCCATTGCGCTTACCCCTCATGGTGAATGTGTCGAACCCGACCCGGCACGGTATACTGCTTACCATCCTTTACGACAGCGTCGTCTCGCCATGAGCTCTCCCATAGCTTATATGTGAGTGTGATGAATTCTTCCGCGATTTGATAACGCTCATCATGTACGACCTCTTTGTCTAGTCCGAGATTCTTTGCTGCGGTCTCCAGGTGACTCGTCACGACGTTCCAAGCAACGCGACCTTTTGTTAAATGATCCAATGTGGCGTATCGCCTAGCGAGTAAAAATGGATTCTCATACGTCGTAGATGCCGTAACTCCGAAGGACAGATGCTTGGTTACTGCTGCCATAGCCGTTACAGGCAATCTAATCCAACTTCAGCAAATTTCATTTCCATATAGATAGCAGGACTCATATCATATGCGCTTACATAGGGTCGGTGATGGGGAATTGCGCGGCAGATGGAAGGCTCGGGTCAATATTTCCAGGTCCCTTGTAGACGCCGTAGTGACTCAAAACATCAGCAATAAAAAGACCATGGAACTTTCCCTCTTCCAAAATTCTTGCCAGATCAGTCCAGTATTCTATGTCAGTATATTGTGAGACACGATTACGCGGGTGCCTCCATAGCCCTAGAGACGTAGCTGTCAATGGCCATACATCCTTTCATTATAGAAATTCTCGCCTCACCAGGTGACAAATGACTAGGGGTGCTCATAGCAAAAGCATTTAAAATCCATTGTTTGCGGGCTGGGGGATTTGAAGTCATTTTGGCTAACTGGCTTGGGTCACAGGTCGCGAAGCTAACTTGGCCAACTGGAAATTTTGAAAAGTAGGATATGCTCTTACACAAATATGTTTGGAAAACAGACGGCGGCCCCTTAACACACGCACAATTGATGAATATGTTTGAGCTCTTTTCTGCTAATCCAGAATGTGACGTTAATTGCGGAGATAGATCGGGCTAATGCTACGGCTTGGTACGCTCGCGTCATTTAGTGCTGGATAACACCATTGCGCGATGAGATATAGTGAATCCTTCACAGTTTAGAGTGGATTCATGTTATGGAATATATCCTCCAAATGAATGAAAGATAGGTCCAAGGCTATCGGTGGCTATTCAACATAATATTGTTCCCTAAAAACCGATGAGTCAAAGCAAAAGATGGCACTCAGACTGAATTAATATTGTGCTAGATGCGTTGTAGGATCTCAATTTCCTTATTCGGCAGCGCTTGTCGTGGTATTGAGAAGTGTCAGCACAGATACCGTAGCCTTGCATTCTCTTAATTCCGAATCTAGTGGCCGACCGTTGAAGGAGTACCTGTGACAGATGAAACTAACATGCAGGATTCATGCCTACGCACACGCACAACCTTACTCCTCCGCCGGGGTAATAAATGTTAATTGTTGAAGGGTGAGGATACTCAATGTCAAGAGTTGCAATACTCATCAAGTTCTCGAATATTCTGTTTATTACCATAGGTCTATCAACTTCTACAAAGGTAGTAAACCCTTGTTGAGGAGGTAGTGGCACCCTTGCCGAACTAACATTTATTACCCTGGCGGAGGAGTAGTGCCGCGTTATCTTCCAACAGACTCACATTGTTCACAGAGAGCTGATTAGATGTGGAGCTCTCGGCAAATCACGACATGACCTAAAGTGTCTGATACCTACATCCGCCATATGTTGCTCCATAGCCTCTAATACCATATCAATGCCGATCTATCAAAGACCTTACTACTTTAGAACCAAAGCAAGGACAATATATTATATGCACTCACTATACTCCGTCTTAGCCGTGCATAAGTGGCCCCATCAATCCTCCTTCGCAATCAGACCCTGCAAAGGTGTGCTCAATGGAAGTTAGGGTTTGCACAATCAATGAAGATCAAGAAAAGTATATCTATTTACATCTCAATCAATTAGAAATGCTCTTTTCCACACGAACATCATACACGAACATCTTGGTACTCAGATAGCAGCAAATGGCTGATCAACCCCTACCTCCTTTGCCCCAAGGAGCTGGGTATGGAGTTGTGGTTGGACTGGGCGTCGCATTCGCTCTAGGTAAGAAGCCTGCCTAAGAACCTCCTTATCCCGCTAATCGTTAGCAGGTATGATATGGGTCACAAGGGCGATGAAGAAGACTCTCAACGAGGACAACCACTCGACGGAGACGTATGTACTAATAAACAAGATAATTATCCCAGGCAGGCAGCTGATATTATTGAAGATTTATGGTTGCTAACCGAACCGTGGGAACCGGCTTGACAGCAGCAGCCGTTGTCTCGTCCTGGCTTTACAGTACGGCGCTTCTCGGTGCCTCCCTACTAACGTACAAGTATGGTTTAGCACTTGGTGTCTGGTGGGGTGCATCAGCGAGTACAATGGTCTGCTTTTTGTCTCTCATTTCTATCGAAGCCAAACGTCGAGCGCCTCATGCCCACACCCTCCTTGAGTTGATCAAGGTTCGCTATGGAAGCTTGACCCATAAGCTATGGATCTTCCTCTGTCTTGTAAACAACATCTTGGTCTTTTCTGGGATGCTCCTTGGCGCAAGCACAGCCGTGACTTCTTTGACTGGGATGTCTGTTATAGCCAGCACTTATCTTCTACCTGTAAGCCGTGCCTCGCGTCTCCCATAATTTCCAGGTGTCCAATTTTGGTAGATGCTATGCTATCATCATGTGGAACATCAAACGTGATCGGTCATGGTCAACTGAGCGACGTTTCAAGAGTCATTTACTGAAATCATTGCCGCAGCTTGGTGTAGCGATATACACATACTTTGGGGGACTTAGAGCGACATTCCTCACGGACTACGTGCACACGTTTATCATCATGATTATATTAGCGTGGCTCACCATCAAGGTGATTGTTGTTAAGGAGATCGGTTCGATTGGGGCTCTATATGATGCCGTCATCGCTGCAGACAAGGAGAATCCGGTTGCTGGAAATTACGAGGGCTCCCATTTGACTATGAGAAGCGAAGGATGCCTGTACTTCGGTATTCTTCATGTCATGTTAGTGGGCAGAAACGACGTTGTTTCTTGACGACACAGCTAAGATTGTGGCAGATCTAACTTCGGCGCGGTAATTATGGACACCGGGTTCTGGCAAAAAGTAGGCCGAGAATCTCCAAATCAGAGTCCCTGCAAAGAAAGCGGTTAACGTGTTTTGCTTTATACAGGGGTTCTCGGCCGATGTTGCAGCTGCTGTTCCTGGATATGTGCTTGGGGGCGTCGCTTCATTCTCAGTACCATGGACGGTTGGCACTATCGTCGGTCTTGCTGGTCTTGCGCTGGAGAGGACGCCTGCATTCCCCATCTACCCAAGGGTAAGAGCAAACGACTGCCATTGGAATAGACTGGATCTAATCGAGCACACAGTTGATGACTGCGGAAGAGGTCGATGCAGGATTGGTACTTCCTTATGTCACACAAGCAGTGGCAGGCAAAGCTGGGGCTGGCGCTCTCCTTCTAACAATCTTCATGGTCAGTTAAATCAACACTTGTATGATGAAACTGTCTGCTGGATACCCTAACTGTCAACTAGGCCTGCACTTCGATCGCTTCAGCTCAAATGATTGCGACCAGCTCTATTATTTCTTTCGATATCTACGGCACCTACATCAACAAGAATGCGACTGACAAGGAGCTGATCAGGTGGTCGCACATTGGAGTCGTTGTTACTGCTCTTTTCATTTCCACACTCGCAACTGCTTTCCATGAAGGCGGAGTTAACATGACCTGGCTCCTGTACATGATTGGTAATGTCATCAATCCCGGTGTATTCCCAACATGCTTTGCCCTCTTTTGGAAGAGGCAGACTAAGCTTGCCGCCATTGTCTCGCCCATAGTCGGGATGATATGTGGCTTATCGGTGTGGTTATCCACTGCATACGGATATTACGGCGAGATATCTATAACATCTACTGGGTCCACAATGCCCTGTCTGTTTGGCTGTGTCACGTCATTCTTCGTTCCCCTTCCGCTCACAATCATTATATCTCTTGCGAAGCCCTCTGCTTTCGACTGGGCTGTATTTAACCAGATAAAGAGCGTCAAATCCAAACATGGGAGAACAGCGCAGCAAGAAGAAACCGAGGAGCAGTGGTTTACGCCTGAGCGTCTACGGTACATGAAGAGGATGAGCCGATGGGCGGCTTTTTGGTCCGTTTTCACCCTTCTCGGCCACGTTCTCTTGTGGCCACTTCCGATGTACGGGGCGAAGATAGTATTTTCGAAGCCGGTAAGTTTGGAATATCGAAACTCTCAGCCTTAGCAACTCGATTGGCTAACTCCTGGTGAAAGCTTTTTACGGCTTGGATTGTCGTGTCACTGATATATCTGTGGTTCACTCTTGTGGTTGCAAACTTCTATCCTTTATTCGATGGTGGTCTCGCACAAATATGGCAGGTCATAAGAGGAAATAAAGAGGTTGATGCCGCCGGTCAAGCTCAAAACGTCTCGGGTGTGGCTTATGAGTCAGAATCAACGCGTGAAGAGCCAGAGAAGGGAGGATTGAAAACTAATACAAGTAGCACCTAGGGCTCGACCTTTGTACTACGACCGATTGGTGGCGCATCGATGTAAGACATCGCTGAGCAATGGAGGGTTATACATTCGCGGGACGTGGCCTTAATCACTACAACATCTGATTTGACTTCGCTTTACTCGTCGGGGTCTTGTTCCGCGCATAGAATGCGAGATGAGCTAAACGTTTGTTTGTTAGATCGGGAGGGCCATCCCGCGTGGGATAAAGCAATTCGACGGGGTTTCTTGATCAAGACATATCGTGAGAATAGGCGATTTGGATATGAGTTCTGACAGTAAGGTAAAACCCAAAAGATTACTTCTTGCTCTCAATAGCGACTTGAAGTTGAATACAAACCATCCACTGCCGTTCTCTCTTAAGTGCACGGGGTAAATCAAGTCCTATCAGTAAATGTTAATTACCACCTATGACAAGTGATCATAGTCAGCATACTTTGATATTTCACAGCTAAATTAATTGTTCAAGTTTCGTGTATAGCCCCCGCCCCCTGGCATTTGGGAATCAAAAAGAGTCATGTTCTTCCAAAATGATTAGCTCAAATAGCAAAGAATCGCGGTTAAATTGTGGTACAACTCGAACTCGCATCTATCGTGTCTTTGTAGAGTCGAAGAAAGTTGTTATGCCGGGACTAGTTTATATTAGAGTTTATTGCTCTCCTTCATGATCTCAGGTTTCTTCAACAATCTCATGATGCTGTGACTACTCTTCTACCATGCTTCCCTGGAACCACCGATGCATTTTAAATATACTACACAGCATTGATGATTCAATGAAATCACGTCTAGTCCAAAAGAGCACATCAGAACGGCAGTACAACAGCCGCATTCTTCTATCGACATATCTAGTTGGACATGCATTTATAATTAGTCGTGGTTCATCTGCGCTTCGAAAACGCGGCCGCTGCCTTCTTCTGCACCTTGGCCGGAGGTGCTGCAGCCTCTGGTTCGCTCTCGTCCTCCTCCCCTGACTCTTCCACATCGTCGTGGTCGACCTCATCCTCGTCCAGCGACTCCTCTGCCAGGTCTAGATCGACATCCATGTCGTCCTCGTCCTCATCCTCCGAGTCATCTTCCGAGTTAGCACCAGCGCCGTTCACGGCAGGGAATTCATCATCTTCGAAATCTCTCCTGCCCGAGAAGATGCCGTTTGTCCGATTTGCGTCGTCCTCCTCACCTTCCACGTAGATGACGCCATCCTCATCATCCTCGTCTAAGTCGTCTTCGTCGCTGTCGATGGCTCCACGGCCATGTGACCGGCGTGTCCTATTAGTCCGACGTAGCGTCATTTGTGCCTCCAGCATGTCCAGCTTTCCCTTGAGCGCGAGAAGGCTTGTGAGCCCCCTTGACCGCTCCTCCAGGACCCTGTTCAGCTCGCTAAGCCGCTTCTGGATATCGGGCTGGGAAGCCAGCGCTCCGCCATGGGCTACAAGCGTCCACTGCACCCAGCTCATTAACGTGTGTGCTCGTCCCGGCCTCCTGTGCATGCGCGAGGCGAGCTTGGTGAGTAGAACTCCTGCTAGGTTCGAATCGAGTCGCTGGATGGTGCTGCGGACGGTATTGAGATCGGTGGTGTGCAGACAGGACTCTAGTAGGTCTATGTCGTCCGTCCGCAGAGCCTGGGAGAGAACGGTACCAAGAGAGGCTAGGGATGGTGGTGCAAGTGATTTCGGCGTAGCAATCGTCAGTGCGCCGCTGGCGACAGGAGTATGGGACGACACATCGACCGTTTGGGATGTGACATCTATCGTCTCGTGATTGCGAATGAGATCGCCAAACGTGGGTGCAGAAGGCTCCTCGTCTGAGTCTTCGGCCTGTGAGGGGTCAAGCATGTCGACATCACGGCTTTTGGGTATCGACCTCGCCGTGTCGTCGGGGGTGGGCTGCTGCGTCCGTTGTGAGAGGTGTTTTGGCTGTGCGGCCTTCGCAGACGTCTTCTCCCCCTCGGCGTCTGATAAGTCATCGTAGTCGCTCTCTGAATCGCTCGATATTTCTATCGTCTCGGCAGTGCCTGGTGATGCGGTCTGGAGAGCATCTGAAAGAGCCACCGTCGTCCTGGTCTCGTCTATCCTTGTTCTGGAAGGGGTCTTCGCGCTCTGTTTCACTGCCGGCGCCGCCAGTTTTATCGGCGTCTTTCTTTTGGAGGACATTCTGAATAATCAGAGGTGCCAGGTAGGCACGAGGGACAGTTGGTGGATTCGGGTAGAGAGCAGTTTGCCGCCAGAGCATAAGACCAATTGATCCGCGATGTTGCCTTGAATTCTCAAGCTACCATTATTGGTGTTGACAGATTGGTGAGGAATACAGGGTTCAGTGTTGTGTTTGCTGCCCGCAGTGAACAAGTTTGGGTTGGTATGGACTTTTCCTTGACGGACGTTCACCTCTGGAACTTTTTTTTAGAGTACTAACCTCTCCCAATTTTTTTTTGCTGGCGCTCCCCACGCCAACTCTCTATCAGAGATGGCCCGTGCTGATAAGATGGGTCTCGTGATATGTCATGGGACTGTCCAAGTATTACGTTATCAGATCATATGACCCTGCATGTGACTCATGCAAACTCAGTCAACCTGGACTTGCCTTTGCCTTTCGATGTAACCTCATTCCCGGAAAGTCTGGAAAATTGTGGCTGTGCCCATGGCATCCCCAGGCTTGTGATACAGTCGCATCCCGTGCAGTCTATTGGCTCGGGACGCCAACCTGCAGCCTAAATATCTTTGCGCAAACGGTATGATTGGACACGAGATGTTCCAGGTCTAGGTTGCACCAGACAGACTTCCAGCTTGCTCCTGCTGTTGCTTTCGGTGCCAGTGTCTTTCTGTCACTCACTCTTGTTGACTACCTGCCTACCTACTCTGCCACGATGAATTTACGATTGTGTATGATTGGGCTGCAACTTCCATTTTGGGGACCTGCCAGGGTCACTTCCACTCGCACTGCTCGGTGTTCAAAAGTCAGTCGCTCCTCCCCTGATCCTGACTCCCTTGTCCATGGCTGTCTCACAAGAGATCCACTTCCTTCTATTTGGTTGGACAGTAATTAGATTCATGCAGCCGTAATCCCTGCTAGCGGCGTGCCTCTTCTGAGCGAACCGTGAATGAAAAGCTCGGACAGACACGGCTTGAGGTCACGCTACAAATAAGGAGTCGCCCCGATATCAGAAATTTGGGTAATTTTTTTTCGTGGAAGTGCAACTTGAATGTTTGCGCCTCAGGCATTACCTCATCTCACCCAAAGTCAGTCGCGTACCAGGGTCGGGTCGCATCGCATTGCATCGCGACGCGACTGCCATACGCAGAGAGGTGAACGGCAGGGTCCCCAATTGAATTAAGCTTTGGCCAGGTCAAATTCGCTCAACACCAACACAAGCTCTGTGTACAGCACTTCAGGCAGATACCTACATCGCCTTCAAAGCCTAGTCTGGGTCGACTCGAGAACATTGATTGCCTCACCGTCTCCCGCTTGACGCAGCTAGTTGGTGTCGTGGTTGTAGAACACCGAGGTACCATAAACCATTTCCGTTATTCGTTTGCTCGTTTCTACCAGCCGTGTTTGTCAATCTCGTTCCGTCCTTTATCGGGCCTCTTGCTCCTACGAGGCTTTTGCTGAGTCACGCAATCCTTGTTTTCACTTGAATCGCCCCCGAGTCTCTTTCATTGCCATCATGGCCCTCATGTGCTCCGTCTTGTGTGTGTGTCATAGATGTATTGATGAGAAGTGGATGCAATGCAATACTAGTGCGGGAGTTGAGAATGATGCTGTTGTGCAAGGCCCTTGTCGCTGCTTCATTGAGATGCCATGCAAAGTTGCTGCAATGATACTCGCACTTATCTGTCCTACCTATCTTGGTCAAGAAGAAGAACAAGGTCACGGGTTCGAGGTTGTTCATGTGGCAGCACGGCGAGAAGAAGCCAGCAAGTCTATAAGAGCAAAAGAAAAAGAAAAAGTAGAAGAAAAAAAAGAAGAAGCTGGGACCACCCCTGTCGCAGATCGCGCACTGGCCACCATCGCCCCCCTGCACCGTCCAGAGTCTGCCCAACCAAAAGCGGCGATAAGGCGCTGATAAACGGAGGCCCAGAAAGCTCTGGGCTCGAATAAATACCTCCGGACTGCCGACCGGGACTGACACATGCGCTTTCAATCAGAAAATTTGGGAAGGAAGACGTACCCAACGAATCCGACCAACCACAGCGCGTCGCATCCGGATTCTGCCACCTGCAACCGCCGATCGCGCCTTTCCAGCCCTTGACCGCAAAACCTGGAAAATCCCAGCCACCGAATTTCCGAGGGAAAGGTGAAGGCACGCTAAACTCAAAGCGAGCAGCAACGCACCTACCTCTAGCGCAAGCTAATCACTCGTCGAAGGAAAGGGAAGGCTCCACCCGCAAGCAGCAGCAAATTTCGGCACGAGGCTGGCCTTTCTCTCTTTCTCCAACTCAAATTCTCACACCTTTCGCGTCTTTCCCCCCAAACTATTTATTTTAATTCTCAGCCTTCTTTTATTTTCTTCCCACCCACCGCCCTGCCCACCTGCCGCGCCGCCGCTTTCGTGCGATTCGATTCGAGCTCACCTCCACCCGAGCTTCTGATTCGCCCCCCGCCCACTAGGCCTACCTCACCTACCTTCACTACTGGAGAGGCGATCCATCCCCCATTCATCCATCCACACACACTCGCCTTCCAACCATCATCATCAACCACTCCCGCCACTCATCGTCGTTTGCGCCATCCCGCCATCCCGCCATCACGCCGCGCGCATTTTTGCGAGAGAGATCGCATATCGCAGCTTCGAGCCGCATCTTGCTGTTTTCTCCTCCTGCAACTCGAATTAATTCGTCGTATCGCGCGCGCATCACCCACCCGTAAACTTCATTGATGTCGCATCACATCATCTAGATCTGCGCGCCTTCCCTTCCCCTTCCCGAATGGCAGTTATGACGTCGCATCAACCCGACGGCGATGCCGTTCTGCTCGACCAGAAATCCGAGTCACTCAAGATGACTGCTTCAGTGGGCGACGAGCCCAATGGTGTCAACGGGTGAGTCGCGTCCCCGCTATCTTGCCTATCATTTCCTGAGTCTTGCGCGCCGCGTTTTATTATGTGCTGTTTGTTTGTACTTTTGCGCAAGGCGTTAACGCACGCCGAGCGCTATCGCGCTTCTCGATTATCTTGTGCACCTGTAAACTTTGACCTCCGCCATGCTGACGTTATTGTGTAGACACGTCTCCCCCGTCGAGATACACCCTGAGACTACCTCCGAGCCAGAGCTCAATACTAAGAGCGCTTTGGCGCCGCAATCACCGAAGCCCAAGGACGAAGTTCCTGAGTCCAACGAGACCGTAACTCAAAACAATGACGCGTTTGCCGCGAACCAGACAGTTTCCGTAGAGCAGGCCGAGGAGCCCGAGAAGAAAGACAGCGCGCTGGCTGAAGACTTGCCCAAAGAGGCGGAGAAAGTTGCGGAGCCTGTGACAGATCAGCCTAAGGACACCGAGATGACGGATGCGCCGAAGCCTGCGGAGGAGGCTGTGCCGCTTGTTGAGAAGGCTGAAGAGGCTCCTGTAGCTGCGGCACCGGAGCCCGTACAGCCCTCAGAGATTGTCGAGCCCACCACTGAGGAGGCTCCTAAGGCGGCAGTCGAAGAGGAGGTGATAACGCAGCCCGAGACTAGTGATGATGTCAAGATGACGGATGCACAACCCGAGGTCGACGTGTCGCCAGGTGCCGAGAATCTCGAGAATACACAGACTTCAACCGTGGAAGAGACGTCCGTTGCTGCTTCAGCCGACATTACTTCTGAGCCCATCAGCGTATCACAGTTGAACATTGATACTCAGGACGATCCGACCAGCATCACTGCGAACACCAGTATGACTGATGCGCCATCTCAACCATCTGTCAAGGTTGCCCGAGAACGCGAGGATGATGTAGCGGACGAACCGGCTGCCAAACGTGCCCGGACTTTGGATGCGGATGATGTGGTGCAGGATACTGTCAAGGTGATGACTGGCCCCATACCTCAGCCCATGGACGTCGATCAACCTGCCGGGGACTTGGTCCCTTTAACGGTAAATGGTGAGCCCAGACGTCTGAATGACCCCGCACTCGACAACAACCCCATTACTGGCTTCATGAATCGCGAGATTCGCAGAGTGTTGGGCGGCATCAAGAAGACAAAGGCTGGCGGCCAATTCAAGCTGTCTGTCCAGGTCATGTGGCCAGCTTTGTGGGAAAGCTACATCGAGAGGATTAAGAACCCGATCGACATCGGCTCCATTGAGCACAAACTCCGCCAGGACGATTACAAAACCCTGGGTGCGTTCAAGAACGACGTGCGCCTCATCTCTGAGAACTCCGTCACCTTCAACGGCAATGATCATAACGTGACCGCGTCCGCGAATCTCGTTGTTCGGCAGATCTTCGAGAGGCTAGGTGATGTTCCTGCTGAGCAACCAGCGAAGCCCGAGGCCAAGGAGGCCAAGAACATTCCCACCCGTCATGCCGAGCCTCGCGCCGCTGCTCCACCTCGTCGTGAGTCTCGTGGTGCCGCAACTTCGCCCACAGAGAAGGTTTCCGACTCGCCAGTCTTCGCCGTCCCTCCTTCTGGCGTTCCCATCATCCGTCGTGATTCGACAAAGAATGATGGCGACCGACCGAAACGACCAATTCACCCACCGAAGAGCAAGGACCTAGGCTTCCAAGCCAAAAACCTCAAGAAGAAGAAACTTCAGCCGGACTTCAAGTTCTGCGACGACGTTCTTACCGAGATCAAGAAGCAGAAGTACTATATGTGGAACCAGTACTTCCTGGAGCCTGTGGATCCCGTTGCTCTCAACATTCCCAATTACCACAAGGTGATAAAGCAGCCGATGGACTTGCAGACTATCACAGAAAAACTTCATAGCGGAGAGTACGAGTCGCCAAAGGCCTTCGAAGGGGATTTCAATCTGATGTTGAAGAACTGCTTCAAGTTCAACCCCGAGGGTCATCTTGTGCATTCTGCAGGCATTGAACTGGAGAAGCTCTTCAAGGAGAAGTGGGCCGAGAAGGATGCTTGGATGGCCAAGCATGCTCCAGCTGCCTCCGCCCCTGCCGCATCGGGTGCAAGTCCTCATGGCAAGGATGACTCGGACGACGAAGCCGATGCCAGTGACGTAGAGCCCGAGGACGAACCCGTGTCAACCCAGGCTTTGGACACTCTCACTGCTAGGCTGCATGAGGAGCAGAAGAAGCTGGATGATGCCTTGCAGGCATCGAAGCTCGATCCCACTTTCATCAGTCTGCAGCAGTCCATGATTCAAATGATCCAGAACCAGATAGTGACGGAGAAAATTAAGCTGCAAGAGCAGACGAATAACAAGAAGCCTGCGGCGAAGCCTAAAGCCTCCAAGAGCAAGAAGGCAGCTGGCGGCGCCACCAGTGGCGCGTCGAAGAAGGCCGCGGCCACCGCAACAGCTGCCAAGAAGAGTGGAGGAAGCGCGAAGAAACCGCCCAAGACCAGGAAGCTGGATGTTGACGAGCGGGAGATCGTGTCTCTGGGCATTGGAAATCTGGATGGTCCCGCGCTTGATCAGGCTATTGACATAATCAGGAAGGACACCAACATTCCGGTAAGTTTAATGCTTCCCATCGCTGCAGTTTCCGGTGAGTGGCGACTAATGATGCTCTTCAGGACAATGATGAAGCTGAACTTGAGCTCGATATGGAGCAACTCAGCGAGCCTGTGCTACTGAAACTCTTCGACATAGTGATGAAGGCCTTTCCTCAATACAAGGATGAGCTTAAGAAGAAGCGGGAGCAAAGAAAGGCAGAGGAGCACCCCAATCGATCGGCGCTGCCAAAGTCGTCCAAGCCGAAGAAGAACAAGCCCATGGGCAAGCAGGAGCAGGAGCGCAAGCTTGAGCAGCTCCGAGAGTTGAAGGCACAGTACGCTCGAAACGGAAGCGGAAGCCAGGAGCCTCTGCCTTCGGTCGAGAATGGTGGCCATGAGGCTAGTGATCACCACCATGAAAGCGACGAGGATTCTTCCTCTGAGGAAGAGTAGACCGCCTCCCGACTTCTCTCATTAAGGTCGGTCAGCGACATCGTCGCATAATTTGTGGCCTCGACCTGCTGACGAACGATCTTTCCCGGTTGTGGCAATTCTTTTGCCAAGTACGTTGTCTGAATATCTTGCAGCAAAGTCTGCGTGTCTGAGTCAATCATGCGAGTGCCTCTCACTGGCCTTAGCTTAATACTGGCTGCCAGCTTCATCATTCATTTCTCTGGAAGCACTGCCACGTCTGCTCTGCCTTCATTCTCCAGGCAAGAATGAAGTCTTCGGGCTTCGAGCTTATGCTGGAGCTTGATGTAGGCTCTTGTTTGGAGTGATGGTGCTCCCGGACGCCACAGTGCAGTGCTACCGGAGGAGCCGACCCCCAACAGCCCGTCTCTTTCTTATTCGTGTAGATTTATTGTGTTGTATATTACTTTACACCGTGCTCTTCCCCCCCGCCCAACAGCAAGGCGGAGAAAGGGGGTGTCCTATTCCCGAGAACAAAAGGGGCGAGACTGGAACGCATTGAAACGGAAATCGGGTCGGCAAAAGCTTCTTCTTGCTTGCATTTCGTTGCTGTGCCGGCGGAGTTGCGCGCGCGTGCGTCCACGTCTGCGTGCGTGGCTTCGCGTTGATTATAGGAGGGGACTTCAGTGATGATGGACTGGTCGGAAAGGGCTAGCAAATAGCAGGCAGAGATCGGTAGATGATGCCTTGTGGGAGTAGATGTCAGAGGAAATATCAAGTAATTCCTCTTACTCGCGTGTGTCCTCGCGTCGTGCTCGTGATTGTCATGTGTCCTGGCTGATGTTGTGTGATTTGGCGGCATCTCCCTGTTCGAGCCGGTATCTCGGCGGGTGTGGTGGCGTATGGGGTGGCTCATGACGGCCTGTCTTGAGCCTCGAGCTTCACAGCCTCAGCCGGTTCGAGGCGAAATGACCTGTGTCTCCTCCCTATTAGCCACCAGACGTTCTTCGTGCTGAAGTGAGATGAATGAATGCCTGCCTGCCTTGCAAACGTGATTCCTCGACCATGAGCCCATCCTGACTGATTCGCACGCAACTCAGTGGAGAGAGCTGTCGCAAACCTTGATAGCTCTCGATATCGCAGAGGGGCTGCAGCTGGTTCCGCCATGCTATCATGGTCGAGTTGGGTACGGCGTCAGTCGCTCAACTCGTGAGAGATGAGAAGTCCCGTGTTCTCTCCATTATCCTCGGTATTGGCAGGTGGGCAGGCGATGTAAGCTGGTTGGGGATGGCTGTCGTCGTATGCGATGCGATGCGATGCGATGCGCCCAGCTGAGCTGAGCTGAGCTGAGCTGAGCTACGCCACTTAAGCCTAGAAAGGGTGCCCTCTTTGGTTGTGTGTCGGGGTTGAAAGCAGCAAGTGATATGAAGTAGATGGCGTCGTCGCACATCATGTCGTGAAGGTGAGCCCAGCACTGCGCAGATGGTGGTGGGTGTAATGGGGTGATTTTCTGGGCTGAGTGGGGGATGAGATGAAGTGAGGCGAATGCGCTGGCTGCTGCATAAGGCAGTAAGTAGGTAGTACCTAGTAGTAGGTAGTAGGTGTGGATTGTGGGGGAAAATCAACAACGACGACGACGAATGGGGCAAAACAGGTTCAAGTTTGCGCGCGCTTGGTCAATGAACCAAGAAAGGATGGTGGCACGCACGTGGCTTTTCAAGCAAGTGAAAAGGGCAAACTGATCTTCTCAATCATGCGTGCAAACTCTCTCCTCTGCTGTATGTACCTAGGTAACGTTAGGTGGTGAAGTCAGGACAATGTTGCATTTTCATGTTTGATGGCCGTCGCTTGTAGGTTGCTTTCGCGGGGCACCTGCCGGTACAGTTTGGTTCCTGGTTTGGGCTTTTCCAAGGTTGGAGAGGCTTCCTTTAGCGTGGTTTAAGATATGATGAGACTGATAAGTGATGCTAGCTTTTGATTGTTTGTTGAATTCTCTTAATTAGTTAGATACACTGATGGATACACCTTGCAATTGTTCTCAGAAGACAATAGAAGACCAGTCATGCCTAGGAGCACAATTATGTGACTAGCTATCATCTTGATTTTGGAAAGCGTGTTGAGTTAGGAGCAGCCTGCATTGCGGGTTACAGTCATATCGTTTGAACTCGGCTGATCACCACCTTCGAAACGCCGTTAGCAATGGAGGATATTCACAATGATTAATACTATAGTTCTAATAGAGCTCAGGATACCCAATGAGACATTCCGCAACTAACTTAAGTAACCGGCCCTTACCTAAAGCCATATGTGATGTGGTGATCACCTCGTAGTTCAGTGTATCAGCAATCTTCGAATCAATGGACCGCTACATCGGCCCGGCTCCTCGAAGAGACCCGAGCCCGAACTGCCTCCTTGACAGATGACAGCACGACTTGTCAGTTCCTGAGGGGACTGGACACAAGGCTGCGATCCTTCGGCCGCCGAATTAAGAGCGACGCGAACTGAATAATCACAACCTGCAGTGTGGTCAAGCCTGAGCAGCTACCCCTCGCTGATCGGCTTTGCGCAAGACGCCACTCGGGAGCACCTGCATCCAACGGCGTGAGATCATTCGCCGGTGAGCGCGGAAGCTCTTTTCGTTGGCTCTCGCGACGCCGCATCCTCAGCCCTATGGACGGATTCTTCGTTGGCCGCCGGGCTCGGAAGTCCGTCATGCTCAAACAAAGCAAATATATTTAGAGCCGGGGAAGTTGACTTTTCCGCCAGAAGAAATAGCATCGTCGAGTTCTCTAGAAACTTGGCTTTGACAAGAGTTTTTTCAGGTATTGGCCGCATAGAACAACAGCCACCGATCAAAGGGAATAGAGACAATGCTCGGGCGTATTCTCATAACGCTTGACGGCATCGGGTTGTTGCTGGGAGCCCCGATCGCAGACTACAACCACACGCACATTTTTAACCCACGCTGGCCGCCACATGCAAAGTAAGTCGCAGCATCACCGACCTACCTGCTCTGCGAGAATTCTCGTCCAAGGGCCCAAGAGCTGACAGACCTCGTCTACAGGTTCCACACCGGCCAGACCATCACGTTGTCCGTGCTCCTCGGCCTCGCGACTATGTTCCTCACCTGGCGTCCCTACCTCTTCCGTTCGACAACACCCGAGATCGCGCGACAGTCGCTGTATGCGGCGGCCTTCACGGGCTCCGTCTACTGGCTCGCCGGGCTGGCGGCCATCTACTACCCCGGCACGGACGGGCTGGATCCCGAGTTCGGCGGCCCGGGCTTTCCCCAGCGGCCGCTGTTCACGGCCTTCATGGGTTTAGGACTTGTCGGCGTTGCAATTGAGACGTTTTGATAGCACATGCCGGTATTCGAAAGCAACATGTGCCGCTGTCAGACAGCATCTATAGGTTGGACACATCGGCAGTGACTGTCCGCAAGGGCGGGAGAGCCAGGTTCTTGGGTCTGTATGCCGGCCTTGATCTGCGCATAGATCTGCAAGTAAATTATGTTGTGGAGCAAGGGATGAGTCTGAATGCAGGTACAAGTGAAGTCAGGGATATCGAGGGGTCTATTGTAGATGGAGGTCACATAGCGGGGGTCTTCGCGAAGGGATGAGAGGTCGCTGTGAATGAGATGCTGAGTTAGCTGAGTCTAAATTGCCCGTAGCTCACTCAGCTTTAGCTAGTTAGTGTCCACGACGAAATCGCATTCTTTTCAGGTCTTGGCAAAACACGTTCTCGCGATCACGGCCATCGCTCCGCGCAAGGGACAGGGTCGAGGGTAGAGGCACTCTTTGTCGAGAGCCGTAAGACATTAGTAACTGCAACGGGCATTCAATTCGCCAGTGTCGCAACACAGTAAACGACCCGGAGGTTCTTCCCCGTATTGTCTATTGACTCAACTCAACCACGAACGCGTCTGTTCTATTGTCAGTGTTCTGAAAACTTTGGTTCCAGAGAACATGCGGCGACACGCATCCAGGAATCTTTGCTCGTACGACTCGCGGCCCGTGACGGCGTTGTAGCCGTCAGAAAGGCTGGAACAGCGGATGACGTTGGCTGATCCACAAAGCCTAACCCTGGCCGAAACTCCCTCTTCCCGGAGAGGACCCTGGCGAGCATTAGAGTTGGGGAGGGTTAACAAGCATCAACGTAGCGACAAGGGCTGGCGCTGTAGGAAAGGGATGAACAGGCACTGATGAGATGCAAACAAGCGCATCTTGGTTTCTGCATGGCCAGTGCTGCTCCTTTTCAACAGGAGAGGTACCTCTGGATTCTGGCTATTCTTGGGATGAAACGACCCCTGAATGGGTCTCATGGCTGCCCCACGGTCGGGCCACGCAAGTGCCTAGTGAGGGATTGCCGTCATCGCCAAGCCGCCCGAGAATTAGACGCTACTCAGCGGCTCCGCGCTTCGCATTTTCAGATCCTGGAGCCTCGCGTTGATTGCACTGTGGCACATGATGCCCGTTTCGACCATGAATCGAGGATCCGAGGAGTCCAATTGGATCACAAAGCAGAGAAAAGGTCAAGCAGGAGGCTGACAGAGATGCGGCGCAGACCAACTATGATTAGCATACCCGTAGTTTACCAGCCTTGGCTACAGGAAGTCGGCAGGTGATCGACAGTCAGACGGTTGAGGGCTGCCGTATGGGAACAAGCAATTGGCCTGAGAGCCTTGCATCTGCGCAGAAAAGCGTGCACCCTTTCGTTTGGCGAGGGCAGAAGAGGGGCTGTATTGTCCTCTATGTACGCGGTACGTACGGTATGCATGTCTCCGTTGGTGTTACGGAGAGAGATGAAACCGGCACCGAGAGCTCGTTGTCTTGGAAGGCCCTCGCGAGAGAGAGAGTGGGGGGGAGTAAGAAGCATCACTGCATCCGCATGTCGCCTACTGGCGAACGGACGGGACACAGAACGTTGATGGCTTGGCCACTGACTTAACTACTCATGACTCGACAGGCACGCAGGAAACGGATTCGTGACACGCGACCTAAGACAAGACATCCGGGCGCGAAAACCGAAGACAAAGTAACACACTTACGGCGTAGTGTATGGAAATAGGGCATCGGAGAGAAGCCATAGAGAAGCCACCCATTCTTGGGATGTGGGGGAAACGGCAAGCCTTTCCCGTGTCTGTCCTGTCAATTTGCACCGTTGGTCTGCAGGCCGGGGGCCAATCCATGCTTGGTCTGGCGAGCCTGGGTAAGTCGGATGTGTCCAGTCCAGGGGTTTTCTTGTCGTCGACTCCACATGCTGACGACGCCCGCATTCTCAAACCCTCGCTCTTTGCCCATCATAGCTAATAACACTGGAGTATTGCGCTGTGAACCGCAGCGTTTGTCTGTACGCTCCGTCTTCAGGTGATGAAGAGATCCTAGCCTCGGTCGCACACAGTCCCTGGCCAAGTTCCAGTCCCTTGCGACGGCGCGGAAGATGTACTCGTACTCACTAGCAAGTCGTAGCTGGCTGTGGCTAGCACCTAATGAAAAACAAGGCCCACGTAGTCTCTCACCGTCACAGACAAACGGATGAGAAGGGCGGCTGCGCCGTGCGCGTGATACCTTCTCTATCTGGAGCAAACATGCTTCATCTTGAGCCGAGATTGTATCACACCAGCGTGCAGCGGCGTGTGTAGTACCGTCACAACGAGCCTCTCAGGTTGTAGGATGGCTGTCAGCAGAGTTCGCACTACACGTCGAAGTGCGATGGCGGTTCAAGGTCAAGGTTTGACCAGACAGTGTCCGGTCGCTTGTCTTTCAGCTAAGCTGCAAGCCTTGTGGATGTGTGGATGTGTGGATGTGAAGGTCAAGGAAGTACAGTAGATACTCGTAGCCTCGTAGCATGCAAGTACCTTTGTTTACTCCCTTGCAATACCCTTGAAGATCAAGTCGAAGAGGTACAATGCAATGATACAAGGTGTACGTACGACATTGCGGTATGGAGGTGGTTCCTCTTTTCTTTTCGGCCCTCCCCCAGCTACCCACTCTGCCACTCTGCCACTCTGCCACTCATCCACGCATCTAACTACCCGACTAACCCTCCATCATTCCTTCCCTCGAATTGGAATTGAATGTGATTTTGCTCTTTCCATTGTTGCAAATACCCATTGCTGGCTCTTTCCCTTTCCTGACTTATCTTTTTTCTCCTTTTTCCCCTTCCCATCTCGTCGAACGAACATCGGACCTGCTAACTCGCCTTTGACCACACATACGACAGACACGGCTGTCGGCTGTCGGGCACTTGTCACATATCCCACCACCACTTTAGCGACGCCCAACACCCAACGCCCACCTTTTCTGCCGCACCAGAGACAGGCCTGGCTTGACAGCGGCAGTTGGAAGTGCTACCTCTTGGCACCCGCCCGCACACTCTTTTCCCTCCTTCATACGTCCGAGTCTTGGCATCGTCTTGGCTCGAAGCGGCCATCCAATCGCCACATTCCAGCCAATTAGGACGCCATCGTGACGTCTCAAATTGCCTAATTGAGCCAGCTTAGATCACATACCAAAGACATCTTACCACCAGGGTGGTTTGCGCTTTTTGTTGGTCGCGTCCTCTCCTCTCGAGATCCACTGCCCACGACTCCGCGGCGCAATTCCCTTCGGACTCGCCTCCATCCATGGCGACGTGCTGAAGCACCCTAAAATTCCTATGACCATTATACATTTCCAGCATCACCAAACGGCCTGATCCTGCGGGTTGGACGACCACGTGCAACGCGGACGGCACAGTCAGTGCTGACAACGACGGTGGTGTTTGGCGATCAGACCTACGGACTAACTGACAAACGCAACAAGGCCGGCAATCGAAGCCGCACTTCATTTCGCAATGATCGCAAACGGGCCGCAATACAGCCTCCTGGGCCGACCCGGCCTGGGAGACCGGTTCGGGCTGCACACAATATTAGCCTTCTTCTCCAACAGGGTACTGCGCGGTGGACCAAAGATCCTGCTCAACCTGGCCACATGCCTGGTCGCTCTCATTATCATCACAAAATTATTACCAAGTCGGATGACTGACATTGCATTCGGCCCAACATATGGGAGTATATGGCACGATGACTCTAAGACCGGAAAGGGGCCAAGCGAGAAACAAGATGTTGGTGGTGGTCTAAGAATTGTGGTGTTTGGCGAGAGCGACATTGCAACTCCAAGCTTGACAGGCAGTGAAATGGACGGCGAGTTGCTAACTTGGACAGAGTCCCTGTGTGCAGAGGTTCGTATTCTGCTACGGCGTGGCATTCTCGGTCTTGCAATAACTTGAAATCGAATGCTGACCCATCGTAGTTGGGTTGCTCAAAGCATCTATCATTTGTTCCCCGCGCCGATCCACTAGAGTCCCCGATGACATCCAACTCGTTCTACGCGGCTGCAGTCGAGCGAGTACTCAACGAGACTGCCGATAGCACAATGCCAGCGCTCGACTATACATTCGTGCCGGATCTGTTTCCTATCAAATGGGACATCCCCGATTTGGCAATGCAAGTCTCAAACTTTCTGAGTATGGAGAAACCAGAAAAACCACCCACGGAGACAATATGGGTGTTCTCTTTTGGGCCTTGGGATATATGGTCCCTTGCGACCTTACCGATTTCTGTAGGCAAGTCAATCACGGACACGATCACCACCGACATATTCACCCATGTCGAGAGACTCTATACGGCATCAAGAGATGAAAACTCGATTGCATACTCCAATTACTTTGACGAGACTGTAGTGGCAGCCTTAGCCAATGGAACATCTGTAAACAACACAGATGCTACCATCCAAAACAGGGCGGAGTATCCTAATGTCAGACCTACTGTCGAGCCGTTCCGAATCATTATTCCCAAGGTCTTCGATCCTTCTGCCCTTCCCGGCTGGTGGGACTCGCGTCCGCCTATTGCTTCGATCCACTCAAAGGCAGAGCAGATGAAACATGCTGCTGAGCTGACCGAGTACTGGAACAACAATCTTCATAATGGCTTGGCACAGTGGATTTTAACGGCAACACAGAATATGGAGAAGGAGAAGGCGGAGGGTGAGAAAACCAATGGAAATTCACAGAAGTCTGGCTCCGAGAAGGAGCCTATCGAAGAGAAACGGCGGCGAGCAGCGACAATATCAGCCCCGAAAAGCGAAGCGTCAGCAGCTGCACTGGCGAAGTCTCGGGATGCGCTCCGAGATGGCATTGCGTACGACATGCCCGACTATGTCCTTGCTGTTATGGCAGACAGACAGATGCGCAATTCCGACCTCAAAGACTCGAACGGCATGGGGGAGTCACCAGTCGAGGACAGCTTCCTCGAGGTGTGGACGCCCTGCATTCAGCCAGCGCATCCCGTACCCATCCACAGAGTAAATCCTTCAGACATCACTATTAATGTCAAGCACGACAAGCCGAAAATGGACAAGCCTAAATCAAAGGACGAGTCAAAGAAGGAAGAAGTTGACAAGAAGCCTAAGGAGAAGTCTGATGACAAGAACAAAAGCAAGGGGTCAGATAAAAAAGAGGATTTACCTGGTGAGAAGAAGGATGAAGGCAGACAGGAAGCATCATCTGGCCACAAGCAACGCAGAGACTCAGTGCCGATAGGAGGCGACGAAGTCGAGACAACAGAGAACAAAGAACTGCAGAGCCAATCTGCCGTAGGACGAGTCTGTCCCGAGCCGAACGACCATCTCTTCTACACATCCTTTGCGCTGTCGCAACGCGCCATCCAATATATTGCCAAGGAGGTCGCGGATATGGTCCGGTACAACGAGACGGTCAGGAGACAGTGGTCTCGGGAAGATGCTCGGGCTAATAATGACGGAAACGAGCATCACTAAGCGTATCGTTTCGATCGTTCCGCCGGTAGCAAACCATGGCCGTATTTAAGTACGCTTTCGAGCTGGCGACTGCGGGCGAAGGGCAACTAAGAGTAGTACCGTCATGCGGTGCTACGCTGATTCTGTACATATTTCCTTGTCATGTGTCAACAATCACCGTCATCAGCATATTGGGAGTTAGGGGATTTCGGCGAAGATCAGCTGTATGTTGCTAGCAGCGATAATAGCATTTGGATGGCGTTGTCGGCTGCGGTTGCTTTAGATTCATGTAGTAGATGTAATAAATTCATCTTGAGAGCACAAGTTAGTTTCTCTATTTCCTTCCCAAAATTACCTGACCCTAGCGTAACCAAATTTGGATTCGGGAACGTGTCGAGGGCGGCTTGCAAGATCCTGAGACGGAAGCAATTGTTTGATACCGAGCCCGTACCGAATTGGTAGGACCTGCTTAAGCACACCAAACATTTCGGAGCATTGGTTTCCATGGGCTGCTGGGTTCGTTTGTGCGTCAGACGCCAATACCAAGTTCGAGCCAATACGTACCTCTGCTTATTTCTTTTCCTTTCTTCGTACTGTCCTAAACCTCAGCCTCTGTTGACCTGAAATCAGCTCTCCCAGTCTCCCATCCTTACGCCTGAGTTCCGTTCCCTACTTCAACATCTTTTCTCAGACCAGCACTGATCTTCTCCTACGGCTTTGTACTGAGTCCGCCCACTTGAGAAAAGATTTCCAACCAGGCGGTATCGATGGCCCCCGTCAACATGGATGCCTCGTCTTCTCATGGAGGAGGCAAGGTGAGTAATTCATTGATGATTCTGCTTCGAATAGTGCTAATACCGCGTCGTATATAGCCGCCCACCCTCATGGCCCTACCCGCTGAGATCCGGAGTATGATCTACCGCGCCGCAATTCCCACCGACCAGCAGATTGAGACTCTCGCTTCGCCGCCTCTCCTGAGAGTCAACAAACAGATCCGTGCTGAGGCAACTCATCTCTACTACAGCATGAACACGTTTTGGATCCACTTGCCCGCATCTGAAGACAGGTGGCCAGGTGTCCTTGCCATGTTCCACGCTGCGGTTGAGCGCGGCTATCTTGCGTCTATCAGCTACATACACGTCATCTTCGAGATCAAGGTGAAGCAGGCGGAACCCACGGAGGAGGACGATGATGAAGACGATGATGAAGACGATGTGCAAGACGATGATGAAGACGATGTGCAGGACGATGTGCAAGACGATGTGGAAGACGATGTGCAAGACGATGTGCAAGACGATGTGGAAGACGACAAGTGGAAGACTGCTTTCCTTGCGCTGGAGATGTCCGACGGTTACCCGGATTTTCTAGACGACAAGTCCCCCATGGAGGAACCCTACTTAGAGACTTACGTCGGCAATAATGAGACCGACTGGAACGATTATGATGCCGTAAAGGCACTGGTTCGCGAAACTCTTCGACTTGACCCATATTTTGACCCAGATCGGGTAGGTTCAGAAGCAGCGTTCGATCGCCTTACAGAGACACTTACAGTTCTTGCTCCGCGCTGCTCTCTGGCAACTCAGTACGTGGAGGCTTACTTTGTGTGGCTCCATTTCATCGAGTTCTAAGAGTGGATCGTCTTATGGCGCCACTGTGGACACCATTTACGACATCATCCTGTAACGAGATAACCGACAGCAAGCAATGGACAGGATTTGGCTTCATACCAGTAGAGAGAATCGTGGCTTTGAGAGATATTGTAGCTGAAAATCGACCAAAATGGAACTCTAGATCTAGCGTCAGGGAGTGCGTCCAAAATTGTGCCTAGCTGGTAGGGTTTCGCCGCAATTGTAACGTTCTGCGGGCACGCCATTTGAGCCAGAATTGCAGAGTTAATATACAAACCATGAAAACGCACAAATTTTGATCAGGGATATCAACGCTAGGGTGACAGAAACCCGAGATGTCGTGATTGAGTTAGCTATTTCTCCACTGTTTCTGTAAATATCTCTCTGCGCTGAGCTCATCAGAATAATAATTATTGATTCAGTAAGAGCATCATAACCTCCTCAAGGAAAAATTTCCTACTTTCGAGGTCCTAACAAGTATCGTGACTTTTGTCATATATTGATTTATCCCCGAGGAACATCATTCATTGCCCTGGCGGAGAAATCCTCCAAACTGACATCTGTCTGGCGGGCTTCATACAAAAGCTCGCTTGCAAACAATTTAGAGCCGCATTAGCCTATCTCTCCCTAGCCTTATCTGCCGGCTTCGTAAGGATCTTAGCTTGACTGCCGGATGAGAGCTATGTGGTCTACCCATGGTCGCTTAAGTTGTTTCCACTCACCAGGCGCCATCCATCGGTGGCTCTGGATGGAGTCCTCGTGGGACACGAGTCAGCGCGTATATATGCAAAACTGGAAGGGAATTCCGTAGTTTTACAAATTTAGAAGACTTGCTACTTTTCGACTCTCGTCTGTTATTGCCTGCCGCTGTTGGACAACGCTGTGCATCGCCTCGACTTATTATCTGAAATATATGCAACATAGGCCAGGATGGGAGAAACCGATTTACCGCAAGAGGCAGTCATGGAGGTCGCTGTTCCGCCAGAAAAGAGAACATGGTACCGAAGAGTGATGTTCCAGGCCACAGTAGTCGGTGCTTGCGCTTTTCTGTACGTCCGTCTGCAAAATTGAGTCCAGATTTGAGCTGACGAACGCATGAAAGAGCCCCCGGGCTCTACAACGCAATGCAAAGTACTGGAGCCGGTGGCCAGCAAACTCCATACTTGGTGATGTAAGTTTTGAAGTCACGCGCTGCGGATGATACTAAATGTGTAACCAGGTCCGCCAACGCCGTTCTGGGAGTTATGATGGTCGTGACTTGCTCTTTGGGAAGTGTATTTGCCAATAGACTTGGCTTGAAGAACGCTCTGATCTTTGGAACTACTGGATAGTAAGTAGAACAGGCCTCTGATTATCATGCTAAAACAGGAGATTGACCGCTTGTATAGCTGTATCTACGCCGCATCTTTGTACGCGAACAATCGATACGGCACGGTATGGTTCGTGTATCTCGGAGCGACGGCTTGTGGTATTACTGCAGGTGTTTTCTGGGCGGCTGAGGGTGCTATCATGATCGGCTGTACGTGTCACCTTCTGTCCGGCATCTCCCTCAACTGACTTGGACAGACCCGGAAGACTCTCAGCGAGGAAGGTATCTCGCATATTGGCTAGCGTACCGAAACGTAAGAGGTTGTTCCTACATATTGCGGAGATCTCATTTGACATTTCAAAAAGGGTGGTTCGATTGTTGGCGGTGCCATTAACCTCGCTCTCAGTAAGTGCTCTGACACACCAGGAAGCAGAATATATCTGACGTCGATATAGACTACTCTGGCAAAACCACTGGCAAACTCAACTGGAAGACATATATTGTTTTCGTATCCTTGCGTGAGTTTATCATCGAAAATGAGTCATTTTGGAAGCTGACCACAAACAGAGTGTATCGCGCCGTTTGTAGCCATGTTGCTATCGCCGCCTGGCAAAGTACAGCGAGCCGACGGACAACGTGTGAAGTCAGCCGAGAGGGTTTCCACCCTTACTGAGCTCAAGGAGGTGGCTAAGATTCTTGTTCGCAAGGACTTTCTCCTGGTGTAAGTTGGGCCTGCACTGCTCACTATCCGCAAGCATTCTAACGTTGCCGCTACAGCATCCCCTTCTTTTTCTACGCTACATATCTTCTCTCCTATGCTGGATCATATTTGTCGCTCTACTTCAGCGTCCGCTCCAGAGCGCTCGCGTCTCTCGTGTCTGCGCTTGCGCAAATCACTGCCAATATCTTCTTCGGCAGCTTCCTCGACTGGAAGCGATTTACCCTTAATCAGCGCGCACGCTTCTCATATATATTCATCATGGCGTTGTTCGGTGGAACTTGGATCTGGGGCACTGTCGTACAACGCGACTACTGGCATCATAAGCCCGCCTTGGACTGGTCCGACCACGGGTTCGGTCGCGGCTGGGCGTTCTATATTATGATGCAGGTGAATTTGTAAGCAGTCACCTGTCTGCCATCCCGGGACTGATTGTGACTAACTGTTCGCAGCGCGCTGTCTTACAATTATGGCTACTGGCTCGCTGGTTACATGGCTAGGGATCCGGCAGAGATAGTCCGACTCACCTCGACGGTCCGCGCCGTCGAAGCAGCTGGAGGCGCGGTCGCGTCTGGAATTAGCTCGACTAAAGCACCTGTAAGTTTGCCCGATTGCAATAGCTGATGATGCGTTGAAGCTAATAACTGGAAATAGCTGATTGCCGCGCTTGGCGTGAACTTCGGGCTCTGGGGACTTGCAGTAGTTCCAACGTACTTTGTTGTCCGAACTATCGGCCTCAACTTGAAAGATGATGCTGGTGCAGTAGAGTCTAGCACAGATAGCCCTGACAGCGTCAAAGAATAGAGAAAGGGGAGGCGGGCATCTGTTCGGGATGGCCTTAATGGCCTTACCCGGACATCGAATGATATAGTAAGCTAGCCGGGCAGCCTTGTCATCGTGGACGGCCAATCGGGTAGCAGATCACAGGTGTAAGTGATATGACCGACTGGGCTATAATGCATAGAGCAAACACCCATTCGAGAACCGAAGTTGAAAAGGAGGCAGTTTAGTTGCATACTCCCGTAATAAGTCATGTGTGGCCCTTGACACGCTGTGCGTGGTTCAATCGGATCGTAAGTAAATTCTCTGCATTGACGTGGCGAATGTCTCCTCAATAGTCTTCACAAGCCTAATTCTGCATGACAACCCCAGCGAGGGCGCTCAAGAACCGGGACGGTAAATAGAAGCCCACCACGTGGATTCCGTCTTATCTTACAAATCGGTACGAGCAGTTGCGACATGTGTGTACTGGATCTCGATAGCGCGAGCGTGATGGGGTCTCCACTGATAGGCTCCGAAGTCGCGCTTGAACCCACTCGCATGCCCCTCTTATCTGGAATAATCTCTGCCCAGGTGCCTGAATCTCCATCGATACGGAAAATCACATTTGCTTCGTCCCCGAAGGCAATCAAACGATGGGCTGGCACGAAGACTTTTTGGACAACGGCTATGCTGTCATCCCGTCTGTCATAGCCAGAGAGGAAGCCGAGAAATACCAGCAGGCAGCCCTGGACTGGTTGAAGTCATTCGATAACCCGGAACTCGACTTATCTGACCCATCGACGTGGACTCCGTCGAATCTGCCATTCATTTCTGAGATCAACACCTGCAACCACTATGGCGTTGTCCACGAACGTTTCATGTGGGACATCAGGCTCGAACCGCGTGTCATTGAAGTCTTCTCCAAACTGTGGAAGACCGACGAGCTTCTCGTGTCGTTTGATGCTCTGAACATCACCCTTCCCCGTCGCCCAGGCCATGTTCCAAGAAAGAAATGGCCGCACGTGGACCAGTCGCCGTATAGGAAGGGCCAAGAATGCGTGCAGGGCATCGTGAACCTGTCAAAGGCCGGCCCAGACGATGGCGGTCTTACCGTGCTGCCAGGCACTCACAAAATCACAGAAGAGTTCTTCCGTGAGCACACTGACAAGTCAACGTGGACAAGAAGAGACTTTTACCGTTATTCAGATGAGGAGATAGCATGGTTCACGGAGCAGGGATATAAAGAACACAAGGTAGAGGCTGAGCCGGGCGACTTAATCATTTGGGACTCTCGGCTGGTTCATTTCGGCGCTGAGCCAACTGAGCGGAGTTCGGTAATTCGAACGGTAGTGTATGTATCATATGCACCGGTGTCTTTTGCCACAGAGGAGGCACTAGATGCAAAAAGGAAGGCCTTCGAGCAGTGGTTGGCAACCACGCATTGGCCTCATGACAACATTTTGCTGAGGCAAAATCAGCCGTTATTGCCGGATGGCACAGTCGATACCCGTAGATCGGAGCCGCGTGAGAAACCGATCCTCACGAAGAAACTGTTAAGACTTGCCGGTGTAGAGGCTTATTAGAGTTGTGATTGAGTTGAGGGTATCGAATACGGATCCTAGAATTCCTTTTGGCTCAGTCGAATATGTCGTATGGAAATGAAGCGACGTGACTTCAAAGCGAGATGATCAACACCCTTAGTTAGGTTGCGAAGTTGATGAGGGAAAAACCCTGTGGTTGTTGTACCACACGAGAGTTTAGACGAGTTAACATAGTGTCATGGTCCCCTATAATGCCATCAAAATAGTTCCCACACCTAATTTTGCACCCCTGGAAGGGCCTTGATGTTGCGTAAGCTAGTATAGATGAAGAGAGTGTTTTTACTTCTATTTGACTAGTATCCTGTTTACCGCGGTGTTATTTTTAAGTGCCATATGTGCCTGGACAATATTTACCAATATGGGATAGAATTGCTGGTTTTCATGCTGGTGGTGATTATTTTTTTGACGCCTGAATACCCTAAATATGAAATATGTAACGACTTGTACACGTAAAAGTACAATTTGAATCTCAGCTCGCCAGCCCCGACCCCAATTTCGTCGTCAATCGTGTGCTGCAAATGTACGATGCAAGACTTTCTATCAACACATCGCTTCTCACCCACCTACCGTACACCCTGAACCGCATCATTGCGCCATCATGAAGAACTCGACTGGGCGATAGCACCAGTCTCATACCTTCTCAGTGATCTGTCCTTCCTGTTGCGCCCTTTCCGCCCTCCATTTCATCCCCCAGACCCAACTCATGACAGCCAATGGCGAGGTAATGACGACCACCAGCGACAGTCCTAAAAATGTAAGACCGGGTCCAATTGCTAGAATCAACTTTTGCAAGAACGCGACTCCAATCGCTCCCAAGCCGCACCGAACTAAATTGTTGACCCCTGTTCCACTTGCACCCTTGCCTGGACACAAATCCGATATAAGTGTCTGGTTCATCGCAAATACAGAGTTACCACTGGCTGCGATCAGGAATTGTAGCACAAGTGGGACTGCGATCCAACCCGGCTTGGATGTAAGTGTCTGGGAAGACATCGAGAAGCCATATATAGTTGTACAAAATACGAACAATGTGGCAAGCCAAGGTAGGCTGCGTTGGCGTGCTCGTGCAATAGGAAAGTCAAGAGGTAAGTTCTCGACCGGAAATCTATAATCAGGAGGGAGTCGATGGGACATCTTGTATGCTATCTCAGCAGCTTTGAAATTTCGCGTCATGATCTTCCCAATGATGCTAGAACCAACAATTGTGCCAAATCCTATTCATAATTATCAGCGAACGGATCTTGAAGACTGATCACCAGTCTGTGAGATTGTGGTGACATTGTTATGGAAGCACGAACCAGTTGGTAGGAAAGCAAGACCAAGCAGCGTGTCGTTCAGTTGAAAATTAGACTGAAACAGACTAGTTGTACTGCAAGTGACCATACTACCGACCGCAGATATGACGCCACCAAATATCAGGTTAACAAGAATCTCCTTCCGGGTAAAGAGCCTCAAAGGGGCCACAAATGTTTGAATAGTGATCTTCTTTGTCCTAATGGGTTCTTTAGGATCCTGCCAGTAGCTTGGCTCTTTTGTCAACTTGTAGATCAGAGGTTTGTAGACTCCTTTTTGTCTCAAGGTTCCATTGCCTGCAATCTCTCGCATGGTTTCTGGGAGGAAGATAATGATAGCCGAAACAACAACCGACGATAGAATCAAGAGGAATACGAATATGGCTCGAAATCCTAGAAAGTCGGAGATGATGCCACCCAGGACGGGGCCAATGGCGATGCTGAAATTCCGAACTAGTCAGGATGTGTCAATTTTTGCCCCGGATTCTGCATTGGGTCATACCTACTTGCTTGGTAGAAGCCAATAAAAGAAGCTCTATCAGCAGACGGCGCTATATCTTGAATGACGCCATTCCCTAAATGCTGGATTAGCCGGATTTCTACCACACATGTGAAGATGACAACCCTACCAAGGCTAGGAGTTGAAGCGCTGCCAGCGGCTTGCAAGCCGCGGAATATTAACAACACAGCAAAGTTGGGTGAAAGGGAAAGACCAATATTAGCGATGATATAAACAGTGAAACAGGCCATATAAATTGGCCGTCGACCGCGGGCATCTGAGAATGCACCCCATATAAAGGGGCTAATCCCCTGAACAATCAGGTAGGATGTGATAGTCAAATAGACTGAACTGAGGCTGATGTCAAGATCCTATATAGTGTCAGACATGGTAGCCATCTGAGTGGATAATTCGAAGGAGTGTACCTGTGCGATCGAGTTCAGGGCCGGATTGTAGATGTTTGATGATAAGCCAGAGAAGAGCCCAGCAACACCGATCATAATCACCACAGGCCACTTTTGTGCTTTCGTAAATATATGGTATGGTTCTTTGGAGTCAACATTCTGCTGGGTTTTCTGCGAATTCGAATCATCAAATGGATTTTGCGTCATCTCGGAACGCTCTTCGAGAGGGCTGATAGTATCTGATTGTTCACTAAGGGACGGCTCTCTGAATTTCTCAAACACATAGCTAGGATTTTTCTCATCTCTAGCTGGTCGATCCATAATGTTATGTTGATAGTAACGTTCCGGGTCAAATTGTGGATCGACGATCACAAGTTCGATGCTCCTTCTGCAAAGAGAACGGAGGTTATTTCCAAGTACATAAGAGTGAGGGCCTTTATCTTGCCAACGCTCAAACATTGAAAAACGATGAGAGACAGGCGGCTTTTTCGGCAAGTCAGTGGAGGTATAATCTTCCATTTTGGATAATAGAGATGTTTATAAAGCTGCCAATTCGATTTGGACATATATATGCTGATGATGAAGCCTGAGATTTGATATAGCAGGCATGTTCTTCAAATATATTCACTGATTATCTAGATGTCCTCATACTTTGTACTCTGGAATGATATATGGATCTTTAAAATGATTGGGGCACCAATGAGGTTGAGCCACTTCCATCAAGGGTGACTGGAATGTGATAGGGCGATCAATCATGATCAGCACTAAATGTGAGTCCCTTTTGAAATCCAAACAGGCAGAGCTGTTGAGTTATGGCTTACAAAAGCCAACAGTAGTATCCCAACCAGAATTCTCGGGCCGCCTGGATAGCTTTTCCGTGTGGCGGAACGGCCCCAGTTGACAAAACGGGAGCTACCACCCCTGAGGAGCCTGACCTCTCGCCGCTTGCTTTTCACCATCGTGAAACATATCTACAGCTGCAAGGACCCTCTTTATAAGCCTTAGGTCCACTGAAGCTAAGTATACATGACGTTGACATGGCACATTCTGCCCACATTCATGGTCCCATCTGTGGCATCTCGAGACGACGAGAACGCGGAGGGATGACCGTGCAGCCCCAACCTCGCTCATTTTACTGCTACCTCTTCATCTTTAAGACTCCACCTACCCACTCGCAGGATCTTAGCAGGCTCAGCTTCAATCCTACATCTACATCCCTTGTTGTCGACCACGGGACCAGCGAGGCTGCATTTTCACTAGGTTGGGAGGTCATTGTCTTAGACATCCCAGTTATTCTCACTCTTTTCACTGTCATAATGATGAGCAATTGGACATACTCCAAGTCACTAGCGGAAAAGAGCCCAGTCGCGGTTATGCGCAACGGTAAATAGCCCACCGTGTTCCGGCGGTCAGGCGCGGCCCCTCGCACCAACAAGTTGGCCAAAACTTCTCAGCTCTGTCGCCTTGCTGTGCAATGGAGGCATGTGGTCTTCTTAAGAGCAATCGTATAACTCGAGACGGAAAAGTTTGCTTAGTGGACAGTTGAACATCGCGATAAACGAAATATTTAAGTCGTCAGACCTGGCATCGGCATCTCATATGCCAATCCCTCTCTGTATGTGTCAAGTCACTGCAAATTGCAAAGGTGTAGCATTCCACCGACCACGAAATTGGGCGATTACAGCGTTCTATAAGGCGAACAAATAAAATAATCATGTTTACTGTAGGGAAATGTGACCACCAGCATTATTTGCAGAGCAATCTTCCCAAGATCGACAGCCTTGCTTCTTGATTGAGAAGGGGAGCACTCGAAAAACGGAAAGTATCTAAAATCTAGACACGCCATTGGGCGTGGCCTGATGAAGATAAATGTTTCCACCTCTCCTATTTGTCTTACCTCAAAGGATTTCACCTATTTTGAGACAATGTTTCTCAGTTAGTCTGATGTAAGCAGCGTTGAGATTTTGCGTAAGCCAGACAAGTCATCGGCGGGAAACGGATGAAAAGCATGCTTTGCGACCTTTGTTCCCGTGGACGATAGAAGGACTTGAGCTATTGGCGAACGCTATCTTTCTGTAAGTACAGTGTGGGATTTTACACTACAATTCGTTCGATATACATGTTGATAGTGCTTTGAAATAATGATGCATATTCAGGTTGCCAAAACTCCTTTGCAGTTTGTGCCCGCCACGAACTCGTTAGTGCTTGGAAGCATAGACGGTCTCGCTTTTCTCCAGGTCCGCCTCAACATCGGCTTTTTGCGCAACGACACCAACGTCCTCTATGTGAGACAAGTCGGCACCTCCAAAAAGTTCATCCATACGCTCCAATGAAATCTACTCATGGGGATAAAAGTTAATGAGTGCATAAATAGATAGTGCTATGAGACATTTCTTCACTTACACCTTTAGTCTCGGGTATCCAAAATGCGAGGATTGCCATAACGAAGTTGACAGATGCAAATATGAAATATACACCGTATGGTACCGATACCAGCATAACTGGAGTCGCTTTTGACACAGCTAGATTTTGAACCCAATGCGTGAAGGCGGCTAATGCCACATTATAGGCTCTCAGTCGATTCGACGGTATTTCAGAAACATAGACCCATGCTAACAAGACAATTTAGTATATAAAACCAGTCCAGTATGGAGCATAGAAGTCAAGTAGTATCATGTTGGGGCTTTCTTTAGTAGGTTAGACTCACAGACAGGACCCCAGCCCATGTTGAAAGCTGCCGCGAAAATGTAGACCATAGCCAAGGCAGCAATGCCTGCGGGCGGAGGTGTGCTATTTTCTCCAGGCGTGGGTCCAAAGCGGACGTACTATATCAATTAGTCGGCCTCATTACACAATAGCTTCGTGAGAATCTTATAGACTTACAAAACCCAAATAGAACATGCATAGCGACTGCAAAAAGCCACTCCACATGAAAGAAATGCGGCGCCCCAGAGAGTCGGCAAGGAAAAACATGAACAACGCGCATGTCACCACCTTAACGATTCCGTAGACACCTTGGGCAAAGAGGGCGGTGGTCGTACTTGAAAGGCCAAGATCTGCAAAAATTCGCGGGGCGTAATAGTTGATGGCACCAGTCTTTTTGATGATATGTGTCAGCCATGGGTAAAGAAAAGATTTGGAGCATGCACGAGAACACAAATCGCCACTTACCCCGGACCACTGTTGACAAGTGATGATGCCAATGCTTAGAAGTGCCCGCTTGCGATTTGAAGCAACGGTCCAACACTCCTTCTGCAACGCCCAGAAGCCCGCCCCTTGCATGATAGCTTTCTCCTGATCAAGCTGTGTTCGTAGTTCAAGAAGCTCCTGTTGGACGTAAGGATGCTCTACCGGGAGACGCCTTACGTCTGACAATACGTCCGCAGCTTTCTCCCATCGATCTTGAGAAGCTAGCCATCGGGGGGATTCGGGACAGAAAATCATGCTCACCAGTAAGAGGCCTGGGCAGATACATTGGCAACCCAATGGAACCATCCATGACGTTTTACCCTGACAGTAGAATAATATGAGCTACTGCCAATTTCCCAGATTGGATTACTTACCGGGAGATGTAGGAGAGATCCATAATTAATGAAGTACGCCATCATTCCACCCATGACGAGGAGAAGCTGGAAGAATCCGACCAGAAAACCACGAATTGCTCGAGGCGAGTTCTCAGACACATAAGTTGGTGCAAGCATGGTTCCGCCGCCGAGACCGAGACCTTCGATAAACCTGGCGTTGAGTTTAGCTTTGACGGACACAGCAATTGCACAGATTCAAACCAAAGGTTGAAGATGCTGACCTTCCGATGTAGAAGACGCTCAAGTGACCTGAAAAGAACGCTTGCATGAAGCCACCAATAATCCCAGTAACAGCAACAGCAAATAGAGCAGGCTTTCTTCCTTTCCGATCTGCAAGAGGGCTGGAAAGCATCGCTCCTAGGACGGCTCCTGCTTGCATTGTAGTCACCAGATTGCCAGAGAGGTCGGCTGCAGCAGAGGCCGATTTATGGTCGAGTCCAATTTCTCTATGAATGAGAAAATGAGATCAGTCTCTGGGTGGTACATATTGGGTATTATCGAAGAGTGTTATTACCGCTTGAAATCGGGCATCGCAAGAACGCCGCCAATAATGCCAGCGTCTACTCCGAAAAGTGCGCCTGCGAAGCATGCCTACAAAAGAGACGATTAGAAAAAATTGTGCTAGAGATGGTGCTGTTGAATGTACCGAGGCTGCCAAAGCAAGAACACGCCAGTTATAGATTTCGGGAGGGTCGATGTGGATGGCATCGTTGCGTACAATGCGCCGAAAAAGTCCATGGATCGTCATTGCCAACTGAGTGTTAGTAAGAGCCAATGTGATGAGGTGTTCAATCTTGTGCCTTGTTTCCAAGTAATAAGACGAGATTGAGTTGGCATTTGACTGATACGGGGTTCAATCAGACTTCAATCAGAGTATATATAAGAATGAACGAAAAGACAGGGCAATTGAGTGTTCCAAGTGGTTGGGCCGGGAACCCCATCACCCCATCTCTCATCCAGCCGAGGATGTGTGGGGAAAGTCTGGGGTAAGGCGACATCGGGGACTGTCGGTTGATAACCGATTTTTGAATGACAAGACGCTAGCCGGGGAGCATCGGCCCAGTTGCCAATATCACCTCGCTTACCAGGTATGGCTCTCAAACTATGCCAACCCTCCCGAAGCTGAGATTGATATTGACCGAACATCCGTGTTTCGTGCCGTAAGCTAGAGTTCTCATAGCGATGGCTCGGCCTGATGACTTTTTAAGTCATGGCGTTCTAATCAAGCTTGTCACAATTTTATTTCTACACTACTTGGTGCAATTCGGCGTGACTACAATGTATTACAACGTCATCCGCGATGGCTTTAACAACTATTTCGAGTTTGCCCAAATTTGCTCTAACTCCGACCCTAGGGACGGCGTCGGCCACCTGCATCGGCTTCGACAAGACTCGAGCATTTCAAGAACGAGACTCCTTTGAGCGCGATCTTGCATGAACATCCCAGCTATAGACATCTTGTCAAGGGTGCGCTGATAGGTGTTACAAATAGAACGACTCACCAATGAAGAGACACTGCGAAGAAAGCATGCTTGACACATCCTCTATAAGCGTCAAGCCGATACCACAAATGATCTCTATGCTGCCTTGTATTTGTTTCTGACGATCGATAAAGCTCTCAATGCTACCCGAGTTGGGCTCGTTGGTATATATGAGAATCCTAGAGACATGATAGACCTGCATTGCGAGCCCTGTGATCTGGTGTTAGCTCAGGGCTCAATGAGGGCGAGCAAACGCTGGGATGGAGTTGTACCGAAGCATTGTGGATGGATTAGCCGCGGCCTGAACACTTCACTACTTTGCGAGCTTCTAGTAGGCAGCTCGGAGAATTCCATGGTCAAGTGAGATTCCCACTCTTGGAGCATTTTCCAGAGCGCCTTTGCCCACTCACGTCTCCTCAGTAAAATAGTGATTTCCCCTTCTTCAGACGTCTCCATGGCGCAGAAGTTCACCACCTGTGCAAGTATCCAGACAGCCCGAGACGCCAACTCGTAACTGGTGAGTTCTGCACAGGTCTTTTTGGGTATCCAGGTGCTGTAAGTGCGTCGTCGCTCACGGAATGCCGCCCAAATATCTTGCCGGAGCCAGGCCCACCAGGTGGTGCTCTCAAGGCTGGACGCCTCGACCTCTATTTGACGAGACCGGAGGATCCAGAATACTCCTTGCAAATGCTGCTGCCAATCATTACGGGACCCACGAAGCATCTCATAGGTAGATATGATGAGAGTTGTTGCCATCAACTCCAGGCTGTGCTGGTAGGTCGAGTAGCGCATGGCCTTCTGGACATAGTGCAGGGTCTGATAATAGTACTGTAAGGCACTGTTCTGGTTCGCCCGTTCGTCTAGGGGAGTGTTCTCGTCAAGGGATTGGTGATAGCTTGAAAGTGCCATTATGGCGTTGAGAAGACCGGCATTTCTAGCAGCGAGATGAGGTACTCTGGTTGAGAAGGTCTGGGCTGGATCAAAGAGGTCGAGCTTTCAATAAAATCTGGTCAGCCACTGTTTCACATGAATCATCTGGTTGCTTTAGCAAGCCTACCCAGGAGCATATCCGACGCAAGAAGTTCTCAAACAAATCCTGCTCCTGATCGAGTAAAGAGATCTTATCTGATGCCTGCCACATGTCTTCTTCACGAAGACTGTCATGAGCTAAGGCACCATTCACGGGTTGGCCATCGATGATTTCAGTCGCACGCTGCAGCGGCGTCGCAATCTCTCCGTCTTTGCCCTTGTTGAATGAATCGAGCAGATCACCCTCAATACCTTGCGGCACATCGGCTTCTAGATAAGAATCTCGCGACGTGTCACCAGCGAATAGCCCAAGCCATCGAGCAGCGGCAACGCTCGTAGACGCGGCTGGAGATGTAGATGCCGACTCTGATTGCTGGTGCCCTACCCAGTCATAGCCTGTAAAGGCTTGGGGCTGCTGTATGCTGCCATTGCAAGGTAATCCAGAAGGTTCACCAGTGGTATGTATGTCTAGATGGGTCGTAGCAGAGGGTGATAGTATTGTTGTCGTTGTACCTCGTGACTGGACTTCGGCGACAGAGAGCACGATGCGGAGCAAGTCACTCTGTGAGCTGCTTATTTGACCTAACTGCCGGAGTATCTCGAGAGTCGCAGGATCAAATCTGTGGAGACTCTGACATAAGCATACCTGAATGTGATAGTCTGAGGCAACCTACGTAGAGTGGTCCTTCTCGACATCGTCATACGAACAATGGATGTTGATGGACGCACAGAATCCACAAGTGGGCCGTACATTATCGCATTTCGTCTTCCTCCCACGGCAGACGTGGCAAGCCTTCGAGCTTCTCTTACGGGGATACCGCGCCTCCGAGGACGAGTTGGCAAGTCGCTTCTGGGGCCCTGGCCCATCGTCAGGTGCCGTTCTGGTCTGCAGAGACATGCAGTCTGCGCGGGACAACAAATTCAGGTGCAGTGGGATTACGTTACGCCCGGGCCCGGGTATCTCTCGAGAACCAAAACTAGAGTTAGATTATGCTCGGGGCCAGCGGACAGTCTGTGAGTATGAATCTCAAGTACGTGATGTTCAGGTGATGGGTGAAGCAGGGTTCGGGGATGGTCGGCTGAATACGCGGGGTACGATTGGTCTCGACCCAAGTCCCCAGCTTGAAGACTGGGACGACACGAACTCCGCCTTTTACTAAAAGTCTTGGCTTGCAATTCACTGGGCTGTCTCATAGACGCTAGCTTCGCATTGAATCAATGCCGTTGCGCCTCAATGTGGTGCCCGGGGATCATCGGGAAAAAGCATGCAGCAGTTATGTCGCGAAGGAGATAGAAGCTCGGGGTGGCCTAATTGGCATAACCATAAACGGGGTATGCCTAAGTTCTGCCCAAATCGCTGTTCGGTTTCTTTTCAACTTCACGTACTCGAGTCTTTCAACATATTTGTAAAGGTCTCGTACTGATAGGACTTCTTGACACTTGGTTACCATGGGGGATTTGGGCCTTCATTCGTACATGGCAGCTGCTGCAAACAACAATCACATCAATGGATACAACCATGTAACTTCATGGCAGCAGGCTCATTCGATGGTCTTGCCTCGAACTTTCACGACTGATATTTTGGTTGTAGGTGGCGGTCTAGGCGGAGTGGGTGCTGCGTTAGGAGCGCTTCGCAGAGGCCATCGTGTCTTCATGACTGAAGAATACGAATGGCTCGGCGGCCAATTGACAAGCCAAGCTGTGCCTCCTGACGAACATTGCTGGGTCGAGCAATTTGGAATTACCCGTTCATATCGGGCCTTGCGCGATGGTATTCGCCAGTACTACCGGGATCATTACCCCCTGACAGAAGAAGCCAGGCAGAGACCTCAGCTCAATCCCGGCGCTGGCCACGTGAGCAAATTATGCCACGAGCCTCGAGTTGCTGTCGCCGTCATTGACAGCATGCTTATGCCATATCTTGCAAGCGGGCAGCTCGTAGTGAAGAAGCGCACGAAGCCGGTCTCATGCCAGGTGGACGAGCAGCAAGTTGTTCGCAGCGTCGAATTCCGCCAGCTGGGTAACGATGGAAGAGAGAACTTTACAGTTCATGCCAGCTTCGTTATTGATGCCACCGAGCTAGGAGACCTTTTGCCTCTCAGCAACACCCCTTATGTGACCGGTTTCGAGTCTCGAATGGTTACTGGAGAGCCAAGTGCACCAGAAGAAGCACAGCCGCAGAACTCTCAGGCCGTGTCTATCTGCTTCGTGGTAGATCACATTGAGGGAGCGAATCACACCATTCCAAAGCCAGCAAGCTACGATTTCTGGCGTAGTCGTCACCCAGATTTCTGGGGCGCGCCGCTCCTTGGCCTCAAAGCTCCGCACCCTCGGACACTTGAGATTGTCGAGCGAGAATTCACACCAAATCCAAATGACGACCCTGCGCTTGTGATTGCGGACCAACGCAAATCGGGCGGTGATATGAATCTGTGGACCTTCCGCCGCATTGCGGCCCGCGATAATTTCACCCCTCACGCGTATCCATCCGACATCTGTCTTGTCAATTGGCCAATGATTGACTATTTTGAAAAGCCAATCATCGATGTTGAAGACCACGAACTTGAAGATCGCCTAAGCGCCGCAGCATCGCTATCGTATAGCATGTTGTACTATCTGCAGACTGAGTGTCCAAGAGCAGATGGGAATGGTAAAGGTTATCCTGGCTTAAGACTCCGGGGTGATATCACAGGGACAGAACATGGACTGGCAATGGCGCCTTATATCCGCGAGTCGCGACGTATCAAAGCTGTCACGACAATCGTTGAGCAGGACCTATCCCTAGAAATCCGAGGCTCTAAAGGGGCAGTGCGGTATCCTGACAGCGTTGGCATAGGCATGTACCGCATCGACTTGCATCCATCCACCGGGGGTGACAACTACATTGATGTTGCATGCTGCCCGTTTCAGATCCCCCTCGGGGCCCTGATACCAGTTGGTCGTCCTAATCTGCTCGCAGGTTGCAAGAATATTGGGACTACACACATCACCAATGGCTGTTACAGATTGCATCCTGTCGAATGGAACATTGGAGAGGCAGCAGGTTTGCTAGCGGCGTATTGTCTGACGACGGGGCTTACGCCGCATGAGGTTCAGGGGAATACGCAGTTGTTTTCAAAATTTCATGATGTGCTTCTTAGTGAAGGAATCGAGACAGCGTGGCCAGATGTCTCCGGATATTAAACACGGAGGTGTTGAGCTACCAAACTTGGCGAGAAGTATAAGCTAGATACAATAAATACATAGAATGTTCGGAGATGAATATACAGCAAGACTTAACTAGTGCTCCTGTCTGAATCTTGGTGATCTGTGTTGGACGAGAGTCAAATCTCGGAAACCTTGCGACCTGTCATTGTGATGGGTGCGGGATTTTCGTTCCTGGTCCTGCGGACATCTTTACTCTCCCCCACACCGCCTTCTCGTCATATCAAATCTTTCGTATTCATCCCCACAATCGTAGCCATGTGTTCGTCTTGGGCGAAACCTGGGGTATTCTGCGGGGATCCTCGGTTGATCAACATAACGCGGGGGCGTATTCAGCCACAAGCATCTTCGGGGAGTGTCGGTTTGGGCCCGTCTCTTCATCAAATTGTCTCTTTGGTCAATATCACCGATGTTCCTCACAGAAACAGAAGTGCTTGTGGGAGCCTATTCACATATTTAATCATCACACCGAACTGATCATATCACAGAACCCTAAAGTCCACCAGAGACATTGGTTTGAAGTCTTCACATTGCATATTCTACATTAGGATTTCGTGATCAAAGCTACAGCATACAAGATGTTCAGACTACTCGGATACGCAATCATGGCAACACTCGCCAGCGCTCAGGTAATTAGTCCACCGAGCGGCTGGCCAGTGTTCAATTACCAGGGTGTCATCACCGACAAGACTAAATTGAAATACAACCCGACTGACGAGTTCATCTTTCCCAGCGTCTTCCACACGGAGGGGAAGTTAGCCAAGCCTTTGGGAAAGTGGTATCTTTACTACGCACCGCATGAGAATCCTGGTGGAATATCCCTCATGTATGCTAGTACTCCCGACGGCCCCTGGACTGAGTACGCCAATAATCCAGTCATCAAGAATGTGTGGAGTCCATACTATAGCGTGCCACACGTGTCGAGCCCCGACGCCTATTGGAATGCAGAAGCCGGCCGTTTGTGGGTGTACTTCCACGGCACCAATGCTGAGACACGGTGGGCAGAGACTGATGACGGCGTGAATTTCGAATACGGCGGCATAGCTGTGACTAATGCCATGGGAGGAGTAAATGTCACAGAGTCAAGTTATGCGCGTGTTTTCACCCACCCCGACACCACTTCAAACTACAAGTACGCCATGTTATATATGGGAAATGAGAAGGACAACAAGCGCCGTATACGACTTGCCGAATCGGTGAATGGAAGAAATTGGACAGTGGATTCGAAATATGTTGTTGCGCCGGGATCTGAGGAAGCTGGCAATGTATCCGGTCCGAATTTGTGGGAGTTTGATGGACAGCTCTACGTTCTGTACCACGCCTCGAGCGGCAAGAGCTATGCTCGGACTATCGACAAGACTCTGAGAAATGTCGGCACCAAGCCAATCTTGCTTCACAAATCCAGTGGAGTTGGTAATGACACAGGGCGTGTGGCCTCGCCAGATGTTATTGTGTACGGAGGAGAGACCTATCTGTTCTACGAGGCGGGTGACCGACTTGGAGCTACCATCGCTTGGGCTAAGACTTAGTCATATGCTCGTGCCGCAATTCCAGTCGGAAGAGATAGCTGAGCTGCGAATGTTCTTTTTCTTCCTAAACCTGTCTAATGTCATCTTGGGAGAGATGAGACAATCCAATGCTAGCATCTCCATGATAGCTACAAACCTACCAAATGCTAATTAAACTTATACAAAACGACTACGATTCTTAGGTGATAGTGATGCTTTACCAGTATGCGTGAAATGTGAATGTCTCAAAGCCTGATCGTATGGCTATCAGCCGACCACAAAAATCCCTGGGATGGAAAATCATAGGTGTCTGGAGGAAGCACTTTAACCTATATCTAAGCCATAGACAGACGGTGACGCTCATACCAGTCTACAGCAATTGGTATATTCGATGGCATTGCTTTGATGCTATCCTTTTCAGTCGGTCGATAGTATTTTTAGAGGTCTTCCCCAAGCCTCGGACTTCGGATCGAAGTCATTTGCTGATGTGAGAAGGTACCTACTAGCACAGGTTAGGCACAATGTCGGTGATTTATAACAGGGCGATGGTGTGTGCAAATGGGAAGCCAGTTGACAAACGGGCCGAAAATACGACAGGGGTGCACAGCGCAGGTCCTCATCATGACTATGAACCAAAAAGAATGGCCCAGATGAAAGCAAACTTAGGAGAGCAAAAAAGAACCCTAAAAAGATTGTAAATATTCACGATAAATTGGAAGAATGAAGAAAAAGACATTGTTTGCTTCGACTGCCTCCGTTCGATATATGAGACTGCGCGCGCGAGTAGTACATCTAGTTTGATGAAGTAGAGGTGGCCTCTACTTCTCCAAGCCTTGTATTACGTCCCCACTTAGTCGAGACAGAGCCACATGCATGTTTCAAGCCCATCAATTCGCCTCACATTGAATGGACAATTACTACTCTAGGCTTAGTACAGGATTGGAGGGAAGATTGCGGGGTAAGCCAATATGTTTAATATGTCGACCATGACGGAGTTGTGTGACCACCAACTCCGACCAACTGGTGACAATGGGCCGTTGCAGTTGTGCTCGGAAGAAGATAATCGAATGGGGTAGAGATCCTGGATATTTAGAGATGAATGTTTGTAATAACTGAGGAGAGGCTGTTTCTATGTTCTCGTGTCTCCTGACCTTCCCTGAAGTGCCCCGTTTTTTCCATGATCTATAGCCGTACCGGTCTTCAAACCACCATGTTTACTAGATCTGGCCGAACTTTTGGCCTCCTCTCACTCTTTGGACTGTCATTAGTTCAGGGGCACTCTGACTCCTTCTACTTCAAGCGCGGTTAGTTTTCTCTCACGGAGTAATACCACCAGTTATAACTCACACTAGTGAAGCGGTCAATCAAACGACTGATTCAGCAGATCTGAAGACTTGGTGGCATTCGACAGGAGAAATCAACACGGAAACTGCTGTGCAACCCGGAAATGTCCGCCAGTCTCACATGTACAATGTGCAGATAGCAGCGTCTTCGGCGCCGAATGATTATTACGATTCATTTGTATATGAGACCATCCCACGGAACGGAAACGGAAACCTCTATGATCCTAATCAACCAGGATATTTCTGTGGACAGGGCGCGCCCTGCAGCGCAGACGACCAAATCACGATCGAGCCTAGTATTGGGGCCGATATGGCCTGGACTCAATATCTCACTAGCAAAGACACCATCGTGAGGATCACTCGTAGTGACAATGGCTTGGTCGACCCTTCAAATGTCATCATCCGGCCAACTTCCCTTGGATTCAAAACGAGCCTTAGTGATAACGCATTGCTAGTCACCGTGCCATTTAATAGCCGAGGCTACCGCTTCTCTGTTGAGTTTCAAGATAATTTATGGGCATACCGGAGGGCCAATCTAGATGCCGACTCGTATTACGTGCAGAACAAAAACCCAAGCGGCGTCAATTACGTGCCTTCATATGATGCAACAAACAACCCAATCGTCGGTGTAGAACCTCTCAATGCACTCATGATTTTCATGAGCCCTTTTCCGAGTAGCGATAAGATACCGGATCTAAATTCCGCCTACATTGTTCCTCAAGGCTTAGTCAGTGGTCTCGATCAGATTCAGGATTCTGTCGTCTACTTTGCACCAGGCGTGTACTGGCTTACAGGCTCTGCTCAAGCTATTCTTAGCGATAAAACTACCTGGGTATACATTGCTCCAGGTGCTTACGTCAAAGGGGCTATTCAGTACATGAGCAACTCCGGAACACTTCAAGCAACAGGCTTCGGTGTACTGTCTGGTGAACAGTACGTCTATCAAGCTAATACTCAACAAGGCTTCAAGAACATCAAGAGTGACGACTTCTCGGTGAAAATGTGGAGAGCGCAGTCCTCTCAAGGTGCAAAGTGGACTGTTCACGGGTTGACTCTTAATGCGCCGCCATTTAACAGCATGGACTTCTATGGCACCGATCTCACATCTTTCAGTGTAGACGCTTCCGACTACAAACAAGTTGGCGCCTTTTTTGGGCAGACAGACGGCATGGAAATGTATCCAGGATCATATGTCCGGGATGCTTTCTACCATGTTGGAGATGATGGAATTAAGGCATACTACAGCAACGTAGTCTGTGAGAGAATGACTATTTGGAAAACTAACAATGCCCCTATTGTTCAATTCGGTTGGTATCCGCGGACCATCGACAATCTCACTGTCAACGCAATTGATGTAATTCATACTCGTTATATTTCTCAAGGAACGCCCTGGCCTCGAGCGCTTGTCGCCTCTGCCGCATCCTATGTTGATCAGGATTCCACCAAGACTGCGGATACTACCCAGCGTGTATCGAACTTCAAATTCACTAATTGGCGCTGTGAAGGAATTTGCCCTGCTATTTTGGCGTTCAACCCTCTTGAAAATATTGATACGATGCTCTTCCAAAATATCAGGATTGAAAAGCTTCACTCATTGCTAGTTGGCGAAAGCACCATTCGCATTTTCACTGATGGGAGCGGCAAAGCTGTTGCTCTTGGCAGTAATTCTGCAGACGGACTGGGTCTGATTATCGAGAATTTCACAGTTGGATCTACTAAGATATCCTTTGATAACAACAACTGGCAACATGACCAACTTGGACGGCTGAACATCGATGGGTTTTGGGCATCTCACTGGACCGTTCGATGAGAATATCCCATACATCGTCTCCACGACTTCCTTCTAGTACATTAACCTTCCCCCATAACATATACCATGGGGCACTATAGTAGTAAAAGAAAACATCAACTCAAATATCTGTCATAGGCACTGTAGCATGAGACTGTAAGCCTCATTTCTGTCATTCAACGAACTGATATATCGAATCAATATGCTTGATGTAATCTAGTAAAAGACCTTGACTTTTCAAAGCCTTCAATTATCTGGTCCTTCAAAATGTTGGCGCTCGGCGGGCGTTAACCGCTTGCTCAAATGCGTATGCCAACTTTATCAACGCTTGATCTTTCAATGGCGGTCCCACGATCTCCAATCCAACCGGAACATCCTCTTCAGTAAATCCAGCAGGCACGGAAATCGCTGGCCAACGAAGCTGGCTAGCAATACCTATGTTTAACGGCAAATATGCCCGCAACATTCTTGTGTTAATTTCTGCGGAACGTGGGGGAGGGATCTTGACCGAAGGGAATATGAGCGCCGAGACATTATGCTTATACATCTCGGAAAGCACTGACCGCTCAAACTCCTCGCGGATATCGACTTGTTTTCCATAGTCCTTGTCCTCATAAGGGCTGACAGACCCATTCTTTGCAACAAACGGCAGCATAACATTTCCCTTTGGTACCCTTCTACTAGATACTAGTTCAGCCACACTGATTTCAAACGTAGCTGTCAGGAACTGATCAAGATCGAATTTGGATCGTGATAGAAAGAGAGAAGACCCTTCAAGAAACTCTTTCAATTTTGGGAGTTCGATATCGATGATCGTTACTCCTGCTGTTTGAAAGGACTTCAATGCCGCCTCGATGACCTCGTTCACTGCTTTGCCTTCGTCTGATTCTGGACTGCCGAAAATTGATCGAATCGCCCCTACTCTTGGATTGGTGCTTTCAAGTTGTGTCTCTAGATTTGCAGCGTAGCTCCCTCCTAATATCGGACTTGCTCGAGTATGGATGCCTGTTTGTGTGTCTTTCTCATCGAAGCCAACCAGAGCATCCAGCATCAAAGCCACATCTTTGACGGTCCGTCCCAAAGGTCCTAGCGTGCTCTGCCCCAAGACACCAGCAGAAGTTCCATGTTTACTAATCAAGCCAACTGTTGGTCTTAGTCCAACGACATTGCAGAATGAAGCTGGAATACGTATCGATCCTGCGGAATCGCTGCCCAAGCCTACAACGGCCATATTCGCTGCAATAGCTGCCGCTGTTCCACCGCTGGATCCTCCGGCGTCTCGTTTAAGATCGTATGGATTACGAACACTTCCTAGTAAGGATGAATTTGAGAAGTAATCAGTGCCCCAATCTGAAGTTGACTTCTTAGCTTATTCGCCTTGTACAAGAGGTTTTATATAAACATGTCTCACCAGGGAGCGATGCTTTGGCAAGAATGATTGCACCAGCTTCCTTTAATCTTGTCACTACAGTCGCATCTTGTTCGGGTATGAAATCCTTTGCGACAACGGAGCCAAAAGTCGTGGTAAGACCTCGAGTCATCACATGGTCTTTGATGATGATGGGAATTCCATGAAGTGGTCCAACGAACTTGTCATCTTTTGCGAAGGCAGCATCAATTTCTTTTGCCTGCTCAATGGCATTCTTGTTAATGGCAGCAAGCGCGTTTAGCTTTGGACCATTATCGTCGCGATCTATCTTCTGTATGCGCTCAAGATATGAGCCGACGAGTTCTTCGACAGTATAGGCCTTTTCCAGGTAAGAGGCGTGAATACCGTCGATGGTGAGCTCTTCGAGGTATTTGATAGCCATGTTAATGGACAGCGTAAATAAGAGCTTCAAGGTGTGAAGTATAATAAAGACTAATGGAACGAACAAGAGTGGGTGTGT